TATTATCTTGAACCATACAAGCAGTTCTTAACTGTTCTTCATTGAAACATAGCGACTAAACATTGTTTTTATTATCTTGAACCATACAAGCAGTTCTTAACTGTTCTTCATTGAAACATAGCGACTAAACATTGTTTTTATTATCTTGAACCATACAAGCAGTTCTCAACTGTTCTTCATTGAAACATAGCGACTAAACATTGTTTTTATTATCTTGCACCACACAAGCAGTTCTTAATTGTTCTTCATTGAAACATTGCGACTAAACATTGTTTTTATTATCTTGCACCATACAAGCAGTTCTTAACTGTTCTTCATTGAAACATAGCGACTAAACATTGTTTTTATTATCTTGAACCATACAAGCAGTTCTCAACTGTTCTTCATTGAAACATAGCGACTAAACATTGTTTTTATTATCTTGCACCATACAAGTAGTTCTTAACTGTTCTTCATTGAAACATAGCGACTAAACATTGTTTTTATTATCTTGCACCATACAAGCAGTTCTTAACTGTTCTTCATTGAAACATTGCGACTAAACATTGTTTTTATTATCTTGCACTATACAAGCAGTTCTTAACTGTTCTTCATTGAAACATAGCGACTAAACATTGTTTTTATTATCTTGCACCATGCAAGCAGTTCTTAACTGTTCTTCATTGAAACATAGCGACTAAACATTGTTTTTATTATCTTGCACCATACAAGCAGTTCTTAACTGTTCTTCATTGAAACATAGCGACTAAACATTGTTTTTATTATCTTGCACCATACAAGCAGTTCTTAACGGTGTCTTCTCTCACCTTGTAAGCAGTCCTTTTTTTTTGTTTTTTGTTAAAATTTCCAAGGTCTGACTCGCTGGTCAATCAAATGCATCAATGAAGACTCCTTCTTGTTTGAAATTTTGCTTTATTCATTAATCATTGTTTCTTCAATTCGCTTGTTTTCAACGTAAATTTTTGTAGTTTATTTTAAGAAGTATCGAAAATGAGATTTTATAGTCTACTTGCAGCATACATTCATTCACATAAGCAGGAATTATTTCAAAAATAAAATCATTATTAAATCTCCTCTTTAAGGATTCTATAGCAAATTTGTCCTTAATGATTTCTGTTATTATTTAGGTATTGAGGTATGACGATTTGGAAAAACTGGGGCAGAGGAGGTGGATTGTTGTCGAGTTTTTGTTTGAGCACCGTGACGAGGAATCTTGTATATTTAAATGTGATTTTAGCATCGAGCCAGCACAGGGGGAGAATCGGGAATCACATTTCTCATCACAGAATATATCAATCGTGAAAAAATTCTCAACATCAGGAGTAAGTCCATAACTATTCGTTCGGGTTTTGTATTTTTACAAAGCGCTGCAGGATAAATATTTTCTTTACACGAATTTTCATTGCGCTTTAATCTGTCTTCTTGGTGCTTTCGACTATGGCCTCAGTAGACCTGGTATCCTTGTTCGTAGGAAAAATAGCATATCAAAATCAATATTCATTCGAGTTGATGCATGCAAGGAAATTTTCTGCCAAAAATATAACAGTTAACGATTTCACAAAAATTTAAAAAAAAATTATTCATTTAGAATTTTCAGACGGGCTTTGATCTGTAACTTTAAAGATTTGTAGCTTTTGTCGCAAAAAATATTGCAAAGAAATGATTACGTTTTTTCACAACAAACTCAATTTACGTTTTTTCTTCCAGTTTTAAATATTTTCTGGACCCTAGTTCCTAGCTTCCGATATATTTCCAACTCTTAGACTTGTATTCACAGCAAAACACTGAAAGAGCTCGTTGAACAGAATACGTTTTGTAAACGTTTTTGGGGAGACGAGCAAAGTTTTTTTGGCGGAAGAGGCAACTCTACGTCCCGGAGTCAGAGGGCATGCATGATAATTTATTTGTTCCGTGTGTATGCTCTCTGACTCCAGGAAGAAAGGGTTGCCTCACCCATTAAAAAACATTTTTGTGCCCGTCTCCCCAGCAAAGCTTCTTTGACTTCAGGTTCAAGTAATTTTGCAGATTCTTTGTCTTTCTTTAAGGTAAGCTTATTTGTGACCTACAATCCAGGGCAGTCGGTTTTATATTTTGCATCCCCTTCCCCGGTTGATGAATATAAGCTAATGAGCACGCGTTAATGGGTTTGTACAGCCAGGGCTGTTCAAGTTTGTAGATAGGCTAAGAGATTGCTGCTCCATGGTCCAAAGCAGCGAAAGCCCAACATTTTTCTTGATTTTCAGATATCCTGCAAGTTTCATTTTCTTGCTTTTTATATTAGCATTCTTGCTTTCTTTTTTTAGTCCGTTGAAAACATACAAAGACAATTTACACCCCCTCGTTCGCGTCTCAGAATAAGCACGATAAATCGACAAGAACTTTGTCGCGATCTGGACATCACAGCCGCGCTTGGAAATGACTGGAAAGAATTTGCTGCGAGAATCGGCCTTGAAACGCGGGAAATTTGCATCATTGAGCATGCAAAATGTTCATCTTGCACAGAGGAGGTAAGACAAAACTTTTTGTTTTGAATCGATGTTTTTGAGTGGACTTAAAAGCAGGGTTAGCGGTATGATAAAAACTATAATAACAGCAGATACTTGATATACGAAGTCATGCTTCCAGTTGAGGTTGGTCTCTACAGCAAAGGTCACGTGTTCTCATGGACATGCTTGTTTCTTTTCATCGCTTTTTAAAAAATTTGCTGAAAGCTGTGTTTATTTCCAGAAACGGAAAGGTTGTTCACACCAATGCAATCTTTCCCCTATCCGTCTTTGGGACTACATTATAACCCTTGCATTACAAGGTCACCTTGAATTTGAACCAACATTCATCCATGCTGGTAACTTCGCTTCGAATGTTAACATCAACTCAATTCAATTTAGTTCGATTCGATTCAATTAAATTTAATTCAATTCATTTTTTATTCAAATAGCAACTGACTATTAGGTACAATAGAAATAGCAGTTACATTTTAGTTACATTACAATGTGCAGGTCCATATTTTATTACCTTCATTATCACTCTCATTTGCTTGACCGACCAAATAACGCCCAAAAGTCGATGCACTTTCGATTTTTGATTTTTATCTTGCTTGGTTCAAACTATGCATGTTTTCATGTTCAAGTTGAACGAGTATAATAATGACCAGGACTCCATACAGTTGCCATTATATTATGTCAAAAAGCTGATGACTATATTGTGCATCAATAGCCTCTTAAGATCTAAAAAGCCCAGGAAAATTATTGGTTAACATTTAGCACAAATCGTAGTTTGTTGACAAATACTTTCTCAATAATTAAGTGGGATATGTCGAATTACGTTTCAATGTGATCTCAAACTTGTTGCAGGATTTCTTTGTATTTGAATTCAGATGATTTTACAATTAACTACGAGCTTTTTCCAAGCTATCGAGAGTTGCAGCTTCTTTCCAGAAAGGAGGCAAGATAATGTATGTTGCTTTTATTATAGACGGTCACTACATTTGATAAAGTTGTGGCCTTATCACAACCGTACCGAGCGTGTAAACAGGGTGGGTTTGGCAATGTGGTAATTTATTATTATTTACTTCCTTCATTTATAGGTTCTACAGATCTTAGAGAGAAGATATCCAGAAAAATGTAACTTAGAATATCTGAAAACAGTGTTGCTGGAAATGCGAAGGCGTGACTTGATTGAATATTTGGAATGAAGACAAGAAGTCAATGCCACAGTTTTCATCGCTCTGTAAGATGTTGAAAGTTACAAGCTTAAATGTGCGGAGGGGTAAAGACCCATAAATTCAGTTTTTTTCTCAAAGGGAAAGTATTCTTCAATTTTGGGTGCATTAGTGTAGCTCCCAGGCTGAAAAAGACTGAAGATACCGTTCTGTTTGCGACGCAATAGGAATGGAATTGCCCTTACATCTTTGTTTTATAATTGTAACTGCAGGCAGCTGTGATATTTGTAAATAATGTGAATCAAGATTTTGATTTTTAGAATCGCTATGTGTTTTAGAAACAGTAACTGTATGAACATCTGTTTTAATTTGAAACTGGTGTTATGAAGAATTGGCTTTTGAAAGCAAAGTTCATATCTGAATTCAGGGGAACAAAGGAGAGTCGAAATAGATTGTACTTCTTTATTCTGCTTTCTAGCAAATCTGAATTCTGTAATATTTTATATAGGCAGTAAAGATACCATGTATTCGTAAATATTTTCAGTTTACAAACTGTTTTTTAGCTGAAAAGATCAAATATGTACTTACGTTATATTGACTTTTGTGAAAACATGCACATCTATATTTTTTATAGTGAAAAGGTTGATGCATAGCTTTTTTGAACTTCGGGCTTCGTAGGTTGAAAATGTCTTCAAATCTTCTGATATTTCAACACCTCATCAATATCATAAAACAGTGATGACTTTTAATGTAATCGTGATAATTGTGACAACATTATTTTATCATGAAAATATTTTTTCATTTTGCAACCGCTATTTTTGATCTATTTATTAATTCTTCTTTCTGCCAGACATGTTAGGTTCAACCGTTTACTGACATTATTAATGAAGTAATTAGAGAAGGGGGAGGGTGTCACAAAAGTTTTCAACTTGCCACTGGCCGATAAGCCCAGTCTCGCGAAACCTGGGTGAGCGTGGTACTTAAAATATTTATGTTTTTATGTACCTTGCTCGTTGTCGCAGGGCGTGTGCCCGCTAGTTTTTCTGGGTTCTGATCCGGGAAGAAGATAAATATATGGAGAGCTCATGTTTTTTGGTATCTCGTATCTAGGCCAACAAAATCATCCGCATTCTTCTACTTGAAATCATCAGCTTACTTATGTTGGCTCCTGACCTACCCATTGTATCTGCTTTTCAAGGTTCCATTTTCCAAGAGAATTTCAAAGAAAGAAACGCGTTCTGCGTTTTTAGTTTCTGGCAGTGCTAGTATGAAAATATCCAAAGTAATTTGTTACCCACAAATTCTTTAACAGCAATTTTCTAGGGTCAGGCAATAGTTGTGTTAGTCCAAATTTTAGTGTCTTCTAGGTATGGTTATAACAGAAACAGCATTTGGCTTTTATAACCAAGCAGGCTGTTTACTTCGTTGATATTCGTGCACTTTTGTCGATAGTTTCTTATGATATTCTACGTTTTCAAAACAATCGATTGCCTTGTCAGCGTGCCTTGTAAAATATATCTGTTTTTCTTTATGTAATAAATATGTCAAAGCACGGCATTCGTAGATTCTGCAAGCAACTCTTGCATCCCAAGCCCCGTTCCCCTCTTTATATTAGTAACAATCTGATGATATCTGCAGTCTTGTCTTTCATGTTTGACATTAGGACTTTCTCTCAAAATGTTCTTACGTACCAACAAACGTAATTAGACTGTAACTTTGCATCAATTATGAATTCTTTTGCGCCTGAAAAGTTTATTATACTTGCATTCTGCTTGTTGATTTTGACTGGGCCGAGCAACGATATTTGTTGCTTCTGACATGGCTATGTTTTGATAATAAGTGGAAAAGGTCAAATGACTTTGGTCACTGCAAGCCATCTGCAATCGAATTGTGCACAGTTCGAGAGCGCGATGACCCGACGAAATGCGAATAAATTCGGAGCGATGTTACTTTGTTGCCTTTCGGTATACTGCACTGTATACCGCGCATAGCTCGTACTTGTACGGCTGCTTGAGTGCATAAGTGACTCATGAAAACAAGATTTCATTGCAAAGATCAGCTGATTTCTGGGTTCAACTACAGCTACAATAAAAGGTCAATACAGCTTAACGGAAATCTCACCCGAGAATATGGAAAATTCATATCACCACTCTGAGAATGGGAACAAATTTCGTCAAAGGCTCAAGAGTGCAATACCAGGTGGTAAGGACAGAAAGCGTGCAATGTCTAAGTTTGTTGGAAAGAGGCTGCCAATCACTAAGTGGATTCGAAGGTGCAACAAAACGAGTCTTTATTATGACGTAATCGCTGGCATCACTGTTGGCTTGATGTTAGTACCCCAAAGTTTAGCATATTCAGCGTTAGCGGGCCTGTCTCCAGAATACGGCCTGTATTCATCATATTGCGGCGTTCTAGTATATTTCATCTTTGGCACTTCAAAGGATCTTCAAACCGGGCCAGCTGCTTTGGTTGCAATGTTAGTTGACAAATTCACCATGGACGGCGAGCAGAAGGTTATGTATGCCACTTCGTTGGCCCTTTTTTCGGGAATAACGTTAATTGTCATGTCAGTGTTTCGACTGCAGTTTTTAATCAATTTCATCTCTGTGCCAGTATTGGCGGGTTTCACCTCCGCAGCTGCAATCAAGATTGGAGTATCTCAACTAAAGGGAATGTTTGGCCTCTCCATTCCACGTGGGCACTTCTTCCACACAGTCTATAACAATTTTGCCAACTTGAAGCAAGCGAGAGTAGCTGATTCGTTGCTGGGTTTTGCATGTCTCATAATGTTCATTGCTTTGCGACGAGTTGGAGCTTGGAATATGGGGAGAAAAGTTAAGAAAGGTTGGCCCGCCACATCGAAGAAAATTATTTGGTTCGTCTGCAGCGCTCGGTTTACCCTTGCCGTTTTATTCACTACTGTCTCAGCGCAAATACTGTATGAAAGATTTGAGATGCAAGATGTTTTCACACTTGCCGGAGATATGGCATCCGGCATACCGCCACCAAAGGTATGAATGACATCCAATTTTAGCCTTTTAGCATCCAAATTATTAACAGGCGATCAAGTCCAGAGATAAAGGCAAGATTTTCTGTTTCCATGGCGGTTTCGCCAAACAAAATAAATGGCTGTTTTTAAATGACTTTGGTTGATGTGAATTTCACTGCTATAAGTAGCAAGGTAGGGGCTAGATTACGTTAATGGGACTTACTTTGCTCATGCTGTACAACATACTTACCATTCATTCCTATATCTGCGACTATGTACCTATTTTTGAATTTTCTGCCTCCCCCCCTCCCTCTCAAGATAAGCATATACAAATAACACAAAAATAACAAAAGAAATGATTGTTTGAGCATTATCATTTTCAGTAACTGCCATTTATTGTTATTTTGCAACTGGGCATATGCTGTGTTGAACCTTTCTGTCTGTTACAAGGTCCCTTTGGCTGACGTAATGTCCAACGGAACTGTGTTGTGGAGCAAGTTTCAGGTGGTGCAACACCTAGGCATCGGTTGCGTGATTACGCCTTTGGTGGCTTTCCTCGAAACAATTGCGGTTGCGAAGACGCTTTCCAGGAAAAACAACTATAAGATTGACGTAACCCAGGAACTGTTTTCTCTTGGCATTGTAAATGTATTCGGGTCGTTCTTCTCTGCTTTCCCGGTGGCCGGAAGCTTTAGCCGAAGCGCATTGAATTCGCAATGCTCTGTCAAAACCCAGCTTGGAGGTAAGCCTCATATACCAATATACTAGTTCCAAACATTATGACGTCATTTAATGAATTTTTAGAATGTTGACTGCGTAGTCGGAGAGAGCTAAATGAAATCACTGTAAATGGGCAAAGTCAGTTAAAGTTCCTAGAAATTGGCTGGGGTATGGCCACATGAGCACAGACTCTATCTCAATCAAATCACTGTAACGTAGTTTTGGTTCTAAATAAAGGAACCTGACCGAAGCAACAATAATTCATGCAAAAACTCGCTTCTTTCACTTCCTATATCTTAGATTTCACAGTTTTTCAGTTTTAGATGTCTTTCATAATGTTCTTTTAGGCTATTTGTTCAAAAAATAAAAGAATTGTTGATTACGTCAACTTTGACACTCTATTTTGGTTATGAACAATTAGAACATATTTTGAAATTAATACACAAGAGCTTCTGCTTTGTTGGTGACACGTGACTGTGCACAAGGTAGAAAATTTATCTAGGGTTTTTCTAATCTTTGCTTATACCGTCAAATTGATAATAAGAAGTTTTTATACATAATAACAAAGTTGCTGGGACATTTACTCCTTCTCTTGATTCAAATATATGCTACCTTTTAATTTCTTTTATATAATAGTCATATAAAGGCCAAAAATCTAGCATTTCTGGCTATAATGTTAATAATATTTTTAAACTTCTCTTATTGTATTTATGATCAATTGCAAATGTACATCATGTCGCAAAAGTATTCAACAGATTGATAAGTCAGTTTTGCTTGCAACCAATCAATGATTTATTGCAACGACAAAGCAACAATGTGTGTCGTGTTAACCGTGATATTAATCATTTTGTTCAGGATATCTTCTGTTCTTCTCTTTGGAAATAAACTACATTCGAATATGGTAATCAAGGTTTGGCAAAACGACCCCATTTTAATGAAAAACCGATGATAATAATAATTATCATCAACAAGATCATTCCAGTACAATAACTATCATTATCACCATGTTCTTAAGTTGATTGGGTCATGATATATATCTCCAGCATAAAAAGCAAAATCGTTTGTCGGATATCCTTTCAGTTGGGTTGCTTTGCTTCGTGATCAACACCGGTTACAGGAAGTAAAGCACTGTTGCACTAACCAGCTTTTTTTGAAAGATAAACATTGATCGAACTAAGTACAGGCTTTCAAGGTCATTTGCCTGAGCATGCTTTTGTACTCAGTGGAACGTTGTTCGAAGATGCAAGCAGATTGTCCAAATGATAGAAAACAGAAAACATTTTCGTTGCATAGGATACAAAATCTTTTCTCTACACCTGAATGTGTCAAAGAAGCTACGACTTATTAAATGTAACAAACTTGATGTGTTGCGAAAAGCACGATTTTTCGAAACACTAAATAACGTTATTGCTGATGGGAGATGCATATGTCAGTATAGATAACATTGATTTGATAGACAGGTTAACATAAGATGACGAGATTGACAAATAGAACATGGTTCCACGCCAAAAAACCCAGCCGCCTAATCACATGCGTTTTCAATAGTCTGCTATGTCAAACCCGTTTATAGTTTCAGTTCTCTGATTGTAGTCGATATTGTGAACAGCCAACTTAGTCATAGGCTACCGCTAACGTCTCTCCTTGTTCCTTTTCTCTTTTTTATTGGACTTCTTTTTCAAAGCACATTTTCAAATTTATCGATTACCATTTCATAGCAATGTGAATGCAATCAAACAAGTGAACACGTCTCCATATGAAAATTTAGTACGGTGAACAAGGGCTTGAATAGATTGAAAACGTCATTCTAAAATTTTATGCTTAAGTAAAGAATTGTTCAGATCAACACTGTCAAACTTCAAGCTGGAATCACTCCTTATTTTCAAAGATTTTTTGTTCCTTTAAATATTAAATCAAAGTAAATTTTCTGTCTCTATTTCATATTAACACTTGCAGACATATTTTGACGTCAATTTTCGCAGTGTAATTAAATATGGCTTTTCTGATGGCAACGATCAAAGTTTTTCCAATACAATTCAAACAATTTAGAAGTGCAATTCAATACATATGATAGATATCCACGTTTTTCCCCAATCAAAACTTGATCAAAGGACAGATCATGAATGCTGACTAATATCCAGTGAATGGAATCCACAGAATAGACTCAGAAAGGCAGTCTTGCACGTGTTAACACCACCTATGTATAAATGTATCTTGTCTGCTCTAACTACTGTAATTGTCTACACTCTTGGTTGATATTGTTTTCTTTGTCTACACTATCTACCTAAGTCAAAACTATCTACCAGTTTATTATACTCTTGTCAATCATAGAAGGCGTGTGCAGTTTTGTTGACTGACAAACTGCCTGTCACGATAACCATAACAATTAAATTTAATCTGATTAAGAAAAAGCTAAATCTTCTTGCCTTACGAATTGCATCCCAAGAATTTTGAGCTGTTATCTTGTTATTTGGTCTGATCTTGGAAGCATTTGTGCACCTAACATTTGAATGTGGGATGTAATGTTGAGTCCTACAAAAAGAGCTCGAGTCTTTAAAGGAAGCTTGGTTAGAATTTATGCCAACAAAGGTTTATTCTCGAAATCTCTTCCTAAATCCATTATATTGTAAGGGAGGTAAAACATGAGTTAAGTTATGTTAAGTTACAGAAGAGATGTAAAATGGTTCCTGAGCTGATAACATGATAACATTGTAACTCATTTCAGACGTAAGCCTGTAACGTAGGACTGCTTTATTTTAGTATTTCAGCAGGCTACAGATGTCCGTCATACAATTTTGCAAGAAAGATAAAATCAGATTAATATCTAAGTAGTCTTTCCTGAACTGTAGCTTTCTCGAGCACTCCAAGCCTTCCTCTGGAAAACCCTTTGTTTGGAACATCGTTCATTACTTACTATTAGAAGGGACTGTTGTTCTTTTCTGTTGGATAACTTGAGTGATATACCTGAGCAAATCATTAGCTTACTGCAGCAGTTTTGTTTGCTGCAAAGCACTTATTGACAGCTTTTGTCGACTGAAATTGAATTGCACTAAATTTTTTTGCCTTGTGTAATTTCAGGTTTCTTCACTGGTGTTGTTGTGTTGCTGGCAGCATCTTTCATGACACCTTGGTTCAAATACATACCAAAAGCGACTTTATCAGCAATGATCATTGCAGCAGTAATCCCTTTGTTTGAGTACCACATCGTCCCAATATTATGGAAGACAAAAAAGATAGACATCATTCCTATGGCAGTTACTTTTTTTGTATGCTTCTACGAGACCGAGTTCGGGATTTTAGCCGGAGTTGCAGTTGCATTATGCATTTACATCTATGAAAGCATTCAACTGCATTTGTCCCAGGAACAAGACGATGCGACTGTTTTTTTTAGCATAGGTTCACAGGCTGTTGGATACCCTAATATAGATCAGCTAATTAGCAGGTTGGAAAAGGTCGTCAGAAGCAAAAAGTCAAAACCATCGGTGATTGTTTTGGAAATGGAGAATGTGACCCGTGTCGATTCAACAGCAGCAACAGCTTTAAAACAGTTTTGTCTGTCCGTGAAAACCAGTGATATCAATGCTCCAAAAATTGTGTTCCGCAAATTGCAAGACAGACCAAAAAGAGCCCTTTCCAAAATGGGCATAGAGATCGAGGAAGACTTGGAGTTGATGGAAATAGAAGCAGGGACAAATGAGCAAAAAGCGTGCGAGTTCGAGGCCTGTGATGCAAACGAAGTCAGAGAACCACTCTACCCGAATTTACAAAGTTTATCTGAAAACAGAAACGAAGTGTAGCAGCAATAGAGAAAGAGACAACTCAAGAAGACGATTTTTTTTTTAAAATTATTACATATTGTGAAACATATCTTGTTCTGCTAATTTTAAAACTCACAGTACTTTGATTATACGAACAAAGAGCGCAGCTTACAACATATAAGTTGGTATTTTGACTGGCATAGCGCCTAGTTTTTGTAGACATCTGATTTATATGTTGTTAACTTAATGGCTAAGCAACCTTTTGTTCAATAGTTAAATCTGCCCATGGCTTCGTACGGATATGCGTGTCTTTGTGTTAGTCAAAATAGGCAGAGAGTCCTGTTTTCAAAAAAGCCTATTTTGGTCTATTTTAATTCTTTCCCAGTTTTAACCGTCACATTATAAATTTAAAAGCAAAACTGAAAAATGATTGACAAAAACCACTTCTTGTTACCAATCTTATTGACTTGTGATTGCTGCTAAGTCCTAAAGGAATTTCCCAAAGAGCCCTTATATGGGGCGATGTTCCACCTGCCTTCATCGTTTTGCACCCCACAACTATCATTCTTTTTCGGCAAAAATACCCTTTCATGAGGGAAAAACTATTCCATCTATGAGGCTTGTATGTAGAAACATTCGTATCACGATATGATTGAGATTGAATCTAAAACCGTCTAGTTATGATTAAATGAACAATTATATTAAAGTTCATTGCATGTATTTAATCTCTCTTTGATAAAAAAAATGTGATTACAAACTGTCTATGCTTCAGATATGTTAGTAATAAAGTTCTAAAAAGAATTTATCATCAAGAAAAGACAATATGAAAGGGAAATCTATATCCTTTCTGGTTAATAAACAGGTTGCAGTATATGTGTTTAAGTTAACATTTACGAATCAAAAGTTTTAAATGCTCTAATAACTTTTCTGTTATAAATCTTTGTTAGCATTCTAGTTTTTGATATTATGTTTCATCGAACGCTCGCTTTTTCTGTCCATTGAAACTCTCAATATTCTGTCCATTTGGTACCAAATAAAGCGTTATCAATGTGCGGCAAATGAATTGGTTTAGTTAAACGATTGGCTGCCGTTTGATCCAAAATCAGCTGTTTGAATACTCAAAAGTTGCAACAGACTGTATTGTGTAAAAGCAAGAAATGTTAGAGGTATTAGAAGAAATAATGCCTACTACTAACCCGAAGACCAATTGTCTTTAAACAAAATGTCTTGAAGGTAAACGGCAAACTAAAAAAAATTCCTGTAAGTAACGTGACTGTGATTTAAGATCATTTCAAACTGCTAGCAGATTGACTTTACTTATCAACCGATGTACAAACGTGAAAGTGGCTTACTCACTGGCTGACTGTTTAGTATAGTTTAGTATATTCGATAGCCTGAATGGCGGACCTACCGGGCCTAACTGCGGGAGGTACAAAGCGTATTTGCAATAGTATCGTCAGTGTTTAGGTATTCAATTCCGAATAGCTAATTAGTTGGATTGTGTATCTTGAAGTAACATGAAGAGTTTATCATTTGTATACAGTATACTTTATAAAGGCCAGGCCTGCAACATCGCATCAAAGCACAAGCCACACAGGCATCACCAGACAGAGGATCTTTTTAGGAACATTTATTTTTGGGGATCAGTAATTCAAAAGGACAGTTCTACTATGACGTTACTAGGGGTAAAAGCGAGAACACGTGGTTTAGTATGCACCGTTGGCATAAAGGGCGAGAGGGCGAGGCTGCCAATGAGTAGCAAGTGTGTAAAAGCGTAAATACCAATGAGCAGAAAACGGAAATAATTCAAGAAAATTTCTCAACACTTCAACATAGCAATTGCAAACAGACTGACATGCAGACTAGTGGGGAGCCGTGGGTCAATTTGTGGGCGCCTATTTGGAAATTTCTTCATTAGCTTTGATGTAAAAAGATCTCATAAGCATAAGCATCAACGAAGGTGGAATTAACCTTTGCTTCTTTCATTATTAGACTAAATGAACCTTTCCAGAAATAAATAAACAGAATCCATACTCTTTTTGGGACTTAACTCAGGATCATTTACAGATGGCAATAAATCACATAGCAATAATAATCTTTGAAGTTACTCTGCTAGAACTTCTTTGATTCCAACTGCTTACGAATCTTCTAATCTCAAATACATCATACTTTGTTATATCTATGGAAATAAAACAAAGCAAATCGTTGCAAGCTCAAAACATGCACTTTAGGCACTTTTAGGCACTTCATTCATTGAATTTTTCATAGTCTATAAGTGCCACAACAACAACGATACTGTACACAAATTACAGCAGCAACAGCAATAACACTTACTATCCGGCCTAAGTTTCGCAAAAAAGCGGTAAAAATGTCGAAAGAAAATGTTATTTGAAAAAACTTGTTTGCTACCTAAATGAGCACCAGTAGAGTGTGAATCGATGAAGGTAAAAAACTCTACGATATGGAATTGCAACCTATTTACTTGTAAGTCGGAGGGGCTCTTCGTTTTCCACCAAAGCTGTAAGTAGTCAGAGGAGCTAGGCTTCGCATCATCACACCATGTCCTTGAAAACTAGAACAGTCTCACGTCACACGCAGTCTGCAGCACAAGTTCCAAAGCAGGGAGGGATGGCAAGAGGTGGAAAAGTTACCCGTTGCAAGAGTGCTTCATTGCCTTCGTCAGTGAAAAATTACGATGGACAAGACACAGAAGAACGTTCAGAGTCAGAAGAGAGCAATATGTCACACGGGGTTAGGAAGTTTCTTCGTAAATTTTATCATTGAATTCCGTATGTTTTTGAAGTTTAAAGAAACCATACTGATTTTTTTTAACTCGTTGGAAGAGAAACGGAAGCTTACGCGCGCTCGGTAATGTACAAATCGGCGACAAGCATTTTACCGCTGTTGCTACCTTGATGACAGCAGTAGGATGTCATCAATCTTTCGACCCCTTCATTATGGGCGAGACGTCATGATTGAGTGTTTAGCCTCTACAATTGATTTGATAAATATATTTATTGGTAGTCAGTAGAAATTCTTATCTCATTTCTTTGTAGTTAAATATGTGGTTGTAAAAATGGGTGTTCCATAATAACCTAGGCATAGGCAACTGTAATTATAACAATGAAAATAAAAATAATAACTTTTTTCAGTGTCAGATTGATTTAGCATTTTTACTAATTGGGGACACTTTTGACATACAATTTGTTAAAAAAACATATAATCTATAAAAGTAATATGTTAAGGTTTTGAAGAGATTTCAAGAAAAGTTGCAGAGCCTACAATGTTCATTTCATAAGTTATCTTTAAGCAAGGGCTCAAGGTCCTTTTTTCTAATACAGTTGCGGAAATTATCAATACTTGAACTAGCCCTAACTGTTTCATTTAATCTAGTCCATAAAAGGGTATGGTGCCAAAATCCAGTCATTATCCTGATAAACCAAAAGAATTTTCCTGGTAAACCAGACCTGTTTACAGGTAAACCATCCTGATAAACCATACATGGAACCTGATATATGCATAAGAGTGAAATTGTTCAAGCAAATCATTCTCTTTAGCTATCTTTATTTTCAATTACAGAGTTCAAGTAGCAATAAAAATCCATCAAAAGTATATTGTTTGGAATTTCATGGAAAAAATCTTTCAAGTTTTGAAATGATAAAGAAGGTATGTACAGTTTAATACACTGTAAGGGTAACAGTGTAAAAGCAAAGTTAATTATTGAGAATAAAGTTTCTTTTCAAATTTTAACAGTTTAAGGATTTGTTTATGCCGTTTGTGCTTTGAAGATTTTGCTTCTCAACTGCTTTGTTAAAAAGTTTTGATTTACAGAACTGGCATTCATTTTCAATACTGATGATCACTTTCTGGAATGCTTTGATAGCATTTATTTAGGAGCAATTAATTTTGAAACTGTGAAAGCTTCTCTCTTTTTGTTCACTACATGCATACTTTTAGATATAAAATTTGATGCTGACATTTTGGGTTAGTTTTTTGGTGAATTAACAAAGATTGAGCTAGAACAGGTTACACTCAACCACTCAACAAAAGAGAAAGAGTTTTCAACAGTGTAGTGTAAGCGTTTTTTAAAAGTCTGGTTTTTTTCTAGTTTCCAAATTGTAAAACAGCAGATTTTTCTTGTAACCATATTAAAAAGATGGAAAGCCTTGACAAGAATCCAGTAAGTTTTATGAGACAGCTATTATCTTCTGTAGTTTTTGTAGATTTTTTTAAAATCAAAGGCTGTGAAATTATTGCTTAGTTTATAACACGTGTGAATTGGTTGTTGTGGAACTGGAAATTGTTTCAATAATATTGGTATTTGTGTTATTCAAATGAAAATAAACAAAGAGATAAAAACAACATAATAAATTTTCTTGTCTAGTTTAACATAGGTTTGAAACAAGAATTTCTCTCTCACTTCCATTATCCATTTCCATTTCCAAGTGCCCCAAGGCAAGATTAGTTTTGACCCTGTTTAGAAATTTGTAATATGTGTGCTATAACAGCTCATAAAAACAATTTTCAATTTATTTTTTCCTAGAATTTCAGTAAACTAATGATTTTTTTTATATTTTAATGACAATATTGTTTATATTTTTGAAGGAAATTCATGAATTGAAGTTATACTCAAACGAACTTACTTCAATAGAAGGCCTTGGAAGGTGAGTTGTCTTTGAAAGATCAATTTTGTTTTGTTTTTTTAACTTGGTTTTTTTGCTTTAGTTGATGATTTATCCATACCAAATCTCATTTGACTCTTGCCCCTATTTTTTAAAAATGAACTTACTTGCAAATGCTATTTTTGTAATAAGTGCTTCACACATTTAATTAATGCTTTTTGATAGTTTATGCCTCAGGCCTCTCCGTTTAAGGCCTTGGCACGCTCCTGTCGTTGCCGAGACGCGCAATAAATCACACGCCTGGTTTATAAGAACCCTTTAAATCACGCTCCTTGTGTTTTGGTTTTGAATAGTTATTATACAAAGAGCCTCTTTCGAGGAAATTGTTATTGCCAAGCTAAAGCAAACACCTCTTGAATATATTTCTGATCACTAACCAATAAACTGTCATTGTGATTCCTGATTGTTATAATTGGATTTCAACACAGTCAAGCAACTTTACTCATTCATTCTTTCATACATGTGCATGAAGACAGACTTGTGCTCCTTTTCACTCCTTTTTCACGACAGAAGATTTTTAAATGGCCAGTTATTCAAAGGGTCAAGCCATAGAGCTATCTACTTTTCGCAAGTATCGCAAGAACGAAGTTATCGGATCAAAGACCGAAAAATGGAATGGGAAGACAATGATGGTTTCGATTTGGTGTAAAGTTTGCTCAAAACACAAAAGCGTTATTTTATCAAACCCTCTTTGTAAAGGAAGTGCCAGGAAAGCAATTGAAAATTACGTCAATGGAACGAATTTTGATTCTTCCACTTCTTCTGACTCCGATTCTTTATTGGAATTCGAGCTAGACATTGACAAACTGCAACAATAATGCTTTTTTTGCTTTTAGTGCTCTATTAAGTAGTTTGTTTAGATATTTCTAAATACAGAGTATTTACATGCGAAACATGCCGTTTTTGCCTACTTTAACGTAAATATATTTTTTTGGTAAAACGCGTGCCTTAGCAAGGCCGCTTAAATGCTCACGGAGAGGCCTGATGCCTATGATTATATGGGGCAATGGTTATGCTTGCGGTACATTAGAAGGGCCAGCGAGAAGTTTTTGGAGGCCCTAGGTATACCTGAAAGAAGAGGCTTTCTAAGTATACCTGAACGAAAATTTTTGTGACCATGCCCTTTTGATAAGCTTAAAATACATTTCAAAATATTTCTTGCAGTCATTTTCTTGCAATCGTTTAAAACATGTCGCTTTTTAAGGCATGCTTTTAGTACATTTGATTAATTCCAGTCTTGAAATGGACTTCATTACTTCATAAGGCCCTGTGGACCTCTTATTCCTTGAAAATTAAGCAATTATAACAGGATTTATTGTACTATTCTTTTCCTCTATTTTTTTCTTTAATTTTTTTTTATTTTCCTGAAAACACTTTTTGCAAAAAAGTCGGGACTGAAGCCCCCCAGCCCCCTTTCTGGCACCACCCATGCTGGAACTACACAATTAAAATGGATTATTGTGTTGAACAGGGAAGTTACATTTTCGGGATTACATGGGGGGGGGGGTGGGGGGTGGACATAATTTTCTCTAGCAGTGTGTCATCATTTCTAAGAAGGAAAATTGCAATTTTGTCTGAAACTGTTTGTTTCTATGTTGTTAAGTTTTGAGAGTTTCTTCTCCCAACATCAGGTATGTGCATGTATGTGTTCTGTTTGATGTATGCATAAAGTGGATAGCCACATGATGGTTCGGATAGTCCTATTTGATAGCCATCTATGGTGTTTATTTTTAGTGGGTGAAAAATTACTTGTAACAAGATTCCAATCTTTTTTTCAGATTGAGAAGGCTGCAGAATCTTCAATTACAGCACAATAAGATAAGAACAATAGGTAAATGAATCAGTTTATAACCTTCCGCCTTTTCTTTGTCTTTTATTGAGACAAAATATTTTTATAAAGTCAGCTGTGAATTTTAGAATAATTTTGTTTGCTTGCGTAGGTAAAGTCTATATTTTGCTGGAGAAATGTAACAAAGCTTCAGTACTGGAAAAGTTATTTCAGTCACGGACTTTGTTTTTATTGTTGTAAATTATTTCTGTTTTTGGTTTTAAATTCCTTGCTTGTTACCATTACAGTTTTACCATTTAACAAACACTTAAAATTTTCAGGTGATGGGCTAAAAGGCCTAAGGAGCTTGAAATTTCTCAATTTGGCTTCAAACAGACTCGCAACTATCAGTGCACAAGAACTTACTCATTGCAGCAATATAACATTTTTAGACCTGAGTAACAATAATATCAACAGAATGGAGGTGAGTATCAAGGCTTGCTGAAACAACTAACAAACCAAGTGAAAAAGTCCTTGAAACTGTACCATAATTTGGAGGAATCAACTCAACTTGAAGTTCTACTTTTTATTTTACTCCAGTAGTTGGAGAATTTATCTTTTAATTTCTTAGAGAGCTGATTGCTAGTCAGATAGTTGTAAACTGTTTTTGTTTCTGATAACAGTTCTTATTTCATTGAATCAAATTGAGTTGACAATTAATGATTAATACATGTTTTACATGTCTTTTATTTGGATGGACAAGCCTGCGAATTTACAATGAAGTTTTCAACTAGCCTTTTTAACTTTTTTGCTTTTTCACTATTATAAAAATGTTTTAAACAGTTAATTTCTCTCTTTGTCAGTTTTTGTCAGCCATTCCTTATATTGAAGAACTGTACTTATCTGGCAATCAACTTTCTCAATGCCCTGATGCATCTTGCTGCAAAAAGGTTTGTTCTTGTAAAGTTTGTTTGCTACAAAAGTGACTTTTCTTGCTAAACTAATATTGAAGTATGAGATAACTGAGAAGAGATTTTTTGTACCAAGTGGACACAGAGTATGCTGTGCTGTATTTTCACCAATGCAATCTTGGCACATAAGTCTGTGTGGCCCGGTTCGAGTGGAAATAAATTAGCTTCAAGTAATAAACACACAAAACACGACATAGTTTTCCAATGCAAACCTTTATAAAAACCAAATACTCTTTACAAATCCTCAACATGATTTGAACAGTCCCTCTCTCTAACTCACTAAAAGTCCTCTTCCCATGGTTAAGTCAGTTCTTGTACTATGGTTAAAAGGGGGTCTTCGGAGAGGTCCTCACATCTGCTTTCTTTCCATTTAAGAATATTCATATTTTGTCCTCCTTCATCTTTCTCATGGCTTACACACTTTTTGGACATGTTATGACTCACTATATGTCACTTTAAAGTATTCTAAAAAAATTGTTTTTTTTGTTCCCCTCTAAAAATATGAATTAGGGGTCTCAGTATTCCACCTCTGACTGTAATGAACAGTCTACTTCATTATCTTATTAAATGTTTATTTTTTCACTCCAACATGTTCTATCTGATCAACAGCAGTTACTTCACTCATATTCTGTTATTCTTTGAACATGATTGAATCACTTAGTTAAGGGTTATCGGTATTTTGGTGTTGTTGCAATTGCAAAGAGACTTTTTCCATTTGAAGTTCCATCCTGGAATAAATTTGTCACTCTAGGTTTTCCATGTATTTCAATAATTATCATCCATCTTCTCAAATTTTTAAAAGATTGGCCTTCTTTCCTTTGCCACATGATAGATTTAAGATGATTTATATCATGGAATGTCTAAGTTAACAAATTTAAATGTTTAGACTTCACTCTTTTCTTTGGGGTCGAAATCGATTTTTTCAAGGCTTTAATGTTTAATGTTTTTTCTAGCTGCAAGAAATAGACCTTTCAAGCAATCGGTTGACAGACTTAAATGGCATAAAAGCTTTACCAAATTTATCAGTAAGTCAAATCAAGTGGTTTTTACTTTATTGTACAAATACATTTTTTCTTGAGGTTGAAATGTCTTGATTCGTGTTTCTGTTAATGTTCATATGAAAGGCTTCGAAGTTTTTTTAGGTGATGGGCATTGGACAGATGAGTGTCTGTTTCAGATGAGCCATCCCCCATCCTTGCAATTATAGAGCATGCGTGTTTAACTTTTTCATTATTGCACATTTTCCTTGACTAAATGCAGGGGGATGACCCACTTGAAAGAAGACTGTCCTGATGATTGGTCTTATTGATAAAGAGTTGAATAAAGGATTTTTATTAGCAAGTTTTTGTTACTTTCGTTTAAGCCATATGTATCATAATTTATAAACTAGAATATCTCTTCCTGTTTTGTTCCCTGTTAAATATTAAGCTATATAGTTTTTGATATCCAATTTCTATAACAGTTTTTAAAACTTTGAAAGTTTTAGTTGTTATTCATTGTGCTATGCCATATGCTCGGTGAAATGTAAAATTATCACCATTTTGTCTCCATCCACAGGTCGTGAAAATCAGCAATAATCTGTTAGGTGATTTAACATCATTAGGCAACTCAAGGTATTTTCACAACTTTTCATCTAATTTATGATTGGCTCGATAGTGAGCCAAGTTTCTAACAAATACATAAAGCATACCACTAAAGATTAAATTATTCCACTCACAACAATAATTGATAAATCTATGAGAATTACATGTCTTCTATTTAAGTAGCTAATCAAGCTTTATTTATGCGAGTTTAGAGTCTTGTTATCACGATACTTTTTTCAAAATGTTTTACATTGGTAATAGACTAATCTGGTTTCGTTATTTTATTTTGTTAAGTTTTATTGGTTCTAGCATTAAAACCCCAATACTTCATTTCAGATCAGTTCAGAGAATAGATGCCTCAAGAAACAAAATATCAAGGCTGTCGGTAAAAGATTACCGATATATTTAATATTATAGTAATATGAAATATTATAATGATGTTCTTTCGGACCCTTATTCTGACGTTGTATACTCTGAAGAGTGAAAAGCTTCAAAACTTTACATATTCCTTTTTTGCAGACTCCATGGTTCTCTTTCATAAATTAATCTAATATTTTTTCAATATTTTATTATGTAGTTTTCATTAAATGTATTTGGACCTTCCTGATTTTTTCAATGGGACCTTGAAACATTTTACAGTAAATATATTGCATTCGCACGGTAAACAAATCTGTCGAGACTAAATTCGCTTCAACTTATTGGCAGTTTTGTTTCCTTCCTTCCAGCACATCTCTGGGCAGTTTCCAAATCTTGAAGTCCTTGACTTAGCACACAATTCAATCTTTGTTTGGGAAGAAATAGTGAGTGACCAATTTGGCTCCGTTTACAGATTTGTTGTCTCTAAAAAATATCTTTGCCATAGTGATACATGGTACGGTATGAAATGCCTTCATGTGTCTCTTTCGCACATATTTGCTATAGCTACAAGGTGTAAAATCATCAATCTTGGCATGATCGCTTTTTATCAATAAAACTTCCTGTGAATGACTTAAGTCTAGAAAATTTGTCTAAGTTATTATAATGCCTCTTCGCTTTTTTTTACCATCCGTGCCTGTAGATACAAAATGTCAGAACAAATATTTCTAGCTCCATTTAACTTTTTAGTAATATAGACATGGCTACATATAATATTTTCTAAATATGAATGCTGAATATCTGGCATCAGTTCTTAATGAAGCTAGATGTTTGTTGTTCAATTGAAGAAAAAACTTGCAGTGTATTGCGCTTTTCATTGGCTATTGCTTGTTGAATTTTGAGAGAATGAAATCTCACTAAAAAAGAAATTGTTCCTTTGTTTTGGTAACCAATGTCATGACACACCCCCTATATTGCTATGTTAACAATATCTCTCTCCTCTCTAGGTACACCTAAAGCAGCTCAAAGAATTGATAGAGTTGTACTTAGAAGGTATGTTTTTGTATTTAGATTCTTTGTTTTTGAAGTTTACGTCTTATTATATGTATATCATCGACGTCCTGTTCTCCAAAAGATTTCTTTCCGAGTATTAAACTGTTTTCAACTTCTTGATATACTAGGAATTTTAGATTTACTCTATTTGGTGAAAGTTTGTAGCTAAGAAGATATGTTTAAACTTAGATCAATTCCTGAATCAATGAAATGAAATCTTTATTCTTACTTATAGTATTCATTAGTAATATATTTTTTAGAATTGTATGCAGAATCGAAAAATAATCAACGAAACTCAACTCGATCCACAGAGTTTGGTGCTAATTTAACTTGCCAGTGCTTCATTCTCTGATTTTCACTTTTTTATCATTTCTTCTAGGCAATAAGGTAAAGGAAGACATCGAAAGAAGTGGGTAAGAGATTTTATCCTTTTCATCACGAAAAGCTAGTATTTTTATCAAAAAATAAGGCTTTGTTGAATTAGTCCAGTTTGAGTTAAATCCAATTTTGTAAGCAATCACCTTTGCCGTTTGCTGATAGTCAACTTTAAGTATGTCGGTTTTACTTGCTGTTTTTTGTCAATGAATATCGAATAATTGATTACAATCCAGCACTTTGGTCTTCTGTCCTAAGATCAAGTCTTATAAGAATTACTTCCATTACTGGCTTATATCATGGAACTTTATGCAAATTCTTTATTTCCAGCCATATAACATGGAGTCATAAAGTCCAAGAAATTCTTCCGAGATTAGAAATACTTGATGGGGTACGTCTTGTCTATTATATATATAGTATAAAGTATATTATATATATAGTATATAGTGTATTAAATATATAGTATATAGTGTATTAAATATACTTTTTTGTTAAATACAACATTTTTTCTTACAGCAAACAATTGATTTTCTGCTTACGATCATTTTAACACCTTTTTATTCAATTGCAGAAATTTACAAGATTGATGTGAATTCTCTTAAAAAAGGGATGTGGGGCGAGGATGTCATTCATCTGTGCATGACTAAGATAAATTTTTCTAGAAAGGCAACTTATATTTGAAAAATGAATATTTTCCGAGCTTTTAAACTTGTTATAGTGTGATGTTGTGTTCACAACATAATTTTCATTTATCGTTTGTTAGTTCATTATTCACCAGGTAATATGTAATCCATCAATTTCTTTTTTCGCAGCATCATCTTGGCAATATTCACCTGAAGTCTGGAGAACGGCATATTATGCGACCAATGACAGCGTCAGCAGGTGCGTGAAAGAAAGATTATTAGAGTGAAATGTGAAGGACTTCTTTTGTCTTTCCTTATATGATGAAATATTTCGTTGTGTTTTGAAAGTATTTTTATAATACGCACATCTGAAAGGGGTACATATGTTTCTTGAAAAAATAATATTTTTCTTTATTGCTATAAATGTTTGGCAAAGTTTGGGAAATTCAACTATTAAGTGTTTATCACAAGAGTTTCAACAGTTGTCGGATGTTTAAGTAAATTATAGGTTCTTTCACGGCCCTAGACCCCCGGTGTACTACACAGGCTGATTTCGTTGAATACAATTTGCTCGCGTTTCTGATTAGCGCAGTTCGATCCACAACTGGGTATATATATTTCCGAGCGTAGTGTTTTCGGTCTATGTTCGGACGTTTTATTCTCTGAAGAGTGTCAGACGAAAAGCTTCATTTTGCTCAAATTTTTGTTTTTTTTCAAAGCCATTTTTGAATACAATTTGTAAAACTTGTCTCAGATAAATAATCATCTTTTCCCACGTCTCTGTTGTGCTTGTTGCAGAAAGAACAGTTGTGAAATAGGCAGTTTTTTAAATCACGCCAGTGTCGATAAATGCAAAAAAACCACCCTTAGAAAAGTAGTAATGTTGTGAACACTGAATGAAATACTAGCGTCGTAAAAAATAGGTTCAAAAATTGATTTTATAAGACTTTCGCCATCACCATCACGACCAATCATTTACAATTTCTTTTGTTTCCACAGCGTTTCTGTCTTTCGGGTAATGCATGTCTTCTAACCATTTTGCATTAATATGCTAGAATTTGTAATATGCTAGTATTTTCATACTATAAAACAGCGTTTAAACATTATAACACAATCCAACCCGATCTTCCTTCAGGATTGTCTACAAAGATGGTTAAGGATCAAATCAACTTGATGAATAGTGAACTATCGATGTACGAGAGCATGATCACATCAAGGTATGGCTAAAGTTGACCTAACTCAGGAAGTATAGGATAGTACAATCCCCTCAAAAAGTATTGGACAAACCGCCACAAGATGGCGGCACTGCTGAAAATTTTCTTAAGAAGTTTTCAACCACTCTGAAAACGCAAAAAATGAGAAATATGTATGGCTAAAACTTTACTTTGGAAAATAATTTAGTGAAAACAGTCCGATGTTTTTTGTCAAGACGTGATGCTCAGGGAGATTTGCTTTCGATCTTTTTTCATTTGAAATCACTTGATTTATCATTTGAATCTATAGAATATTTTTACACCCAAAATTTTTTTTTTCGTGGTTTCTGAATCAGATATTTTTTACCGAACTTGTAGATATAAGCAGGGAGTGAAAATAGAACGTGCGTCGAACGTGATCACAACCGAAACGATTGCTATGATGAATGTTTTCATTTTTCAGGATGCTTTTAGCAGATCTAAAAATACTCTATGAGTAACATATAAGCATTTTCGTCCGAAAGAAGACTTGATGCTTGTAAAGCAATATTTGATAGAGGGTGTACTTAAGTTGAGTCCGATTGTTTTTAATTAAGGGATTCAAAATGAAATTTTAGAATCAGAGAAACATTATCCAGCATCTTAAAAATTGAATATATGTTTTCTTTAATGAAATTACTCGCAATATAACAAATGTTTCAGTGCCTGAATAACGTCAAGTTATTCATTTAATGTTAAAGATTTAAAATATGTTTGAAAAAAATGTCAAAGGCTGTCTCCGTGGAGGTGCCCTTCCTTTTTGTCTTTTCAATGGCGCTAATCAAATTGTTCTTCTTATGCTAACCTACGTTTTGTATTAATTCTTTTAGATTTGTTGCAATGAACAGCCTTTTGGATTCTCTCCGCTCGAATTCTATCACAGAAACAGATGACACTCGACCATCTGAACCTGGTTGGCTATCTATATGTTATTTTGATTTCATGTTATGACCATCTTACGAACACTTAGACTCATAGTATATCTCTTAACTTTAAGACGAATGAAAATAATCATAACAGAGTTCTTAAAGGATTAGATAGTGATTGTGACGGCTAATAGAAGCTTATTATTCATTTAAATAGCTGGAGGTATGAAGATGTGAGTGTAGCCATTTCCCAGTATAAAAAATTGATTTGTCTTTATCGTGTTAACGGAGTTTTTCAGTACCTTCTAAAACTTCTAAAAGAAAAATTTCTTATTGGAAGTTTACCATGAAATGTGTTGCGATATATCTGAAAAGATTAAGATAGAAGGTTTAGATTGTGTATCTTTCATTATCATGATTTTTACAAATGCTTAATTACAACGAGCAGCAACAGTCCCGACTGATGAATTTAGGAAAAAATATTTCTAAAACGAAAATATGTTAATAAATGAAATTTATTGATATTTCACGCTGACATGCCAGGCTTCAACAGAGTGACAGAACGGGATGAAGCTTTTGCTATTTTAATTTAATTTTTGCAAAATTCTTATAATCTTAGCGACAACCAATTGCGGCATGTCTATAACCCTGTTTAAGCGAAAACATCAAATGCTTTGTGGCTTGGCACAGTTAAACCTAAGGTTTTTGGGAATTTTTTATAAATTATGAGAATTTCAGAAGGTTTATTTTGCGATCATTTCTTGTATTCTATGTGTCTAATATAGAAATGTTTTTCAAACTGATCTTATGTGATATTTTGTAGGAGCTTCATCTAAAAGGAGAATACAAGAAGAGGAAATCGAAAGGCCCTCGACTTCATCTTCCAATGCACGACCAGCAAGTCGTTGTGGAAGGTAACTAACATGATGAAATTAATTGAGAGGTTGTGTTGCTTAGCAAAGCATCACATGGCATTCTACTAAATTCTCTGCTCTGACCTCACAGACAAAGCAAGTTCACAGAGATCGCATGTATGAAACTTTGTTGGTTGCCTGGGTGAAACTTTTCTATAATCAAAATCCTCTGGTTACTACTGCGCCAAAAAAGGAATTAGAACTCTGGGGCAGAGCTCCTCTAACAAGCATAAATCTTATTTTCAATTTCGATATATATCCTTTGTTATAAATATCGATTAGTTTAAATTGTACACACAGCGATGCTGGTTCCCCTGCTCAATAGGATCAACAGAACGCAGACTTCTGTTATCAAATAATTGCTTTTCTAAGAAGGCTTTCAATTAATCAGCTTTTAGAGCGAAAAGAATGAAGCCGTGTGTTCACATTAGTCCAAGCAGCATAATGATAAACATAAACAGTGAGGCCAAAAGTTGGCGTACACAATCAAAGGCTTAGATTTGCATGCAAACTCCTCGCTTTGGCTATTTCAACAGACCTCTGAACACCGTCTCTCAATGCCGCGAGCTTCTATGCTGTTGACGTCATGATGTTGACTCTGATAACACCCACATTTATAGATTTCGGTAATCCGGTTGGATCCGATTAAGTGCTAAAAGGGCTTGTGTTGAATAGACTACAAACCATAGAGATAGGATAATGCTACAGAGGTACAATCTGCTGTGTGTTTTGCTGTTATGGAGTAGAACACGTGAGCCAGTGATTCTAAAGTGGCTAATTTGATGCGTCACAAAATTCTTATTTAGCATTTTAAATCTTGGTTGTGCATCTTAAAAACACTAAACGTACCTCTAAGTTTGCAAAATCAGTTGATATGTTGATGAGGTATGGCCAATGAAAATCTAAAGCTGACTAACGGATTTCTGCTTTTTTATAAGAAGCAAAATTATAGAGGTTTGATGGGGAAAGAGTCTATGCTGCTCATGTGGCTAGATAGTCAAAATTAAAAAAGCTTATAATGGTGCATCCTATTGCACGAAGACTCCTCCTGAATTTAAACCTGTGGAACGCTAAAAAGAATTTAAACAAAAATGATTTTAATGTACATCAATCTTCAACTACCAAGAATGTTAGCAACAACCAACACACACATTTTTCCCGAATTTCATCGCTATGTGTTTGAATAATTTAAATATTTGAAATTTTTAATGCAATAATAAGATTGCAATTTTAGCAAGAAGTTTTTCTTATGGTAAACTTTTTCTTTGACTTACTTTTCTATATTGTAGCCGCGCACGTATTCAAGCTGCCCTCGAATTTGCTTCACATGAAACTGAAAAATAGAAGTCAACATCGCAACGGATCGTCGGCGAAGAGAAACTAACAAGCCGAATGAGTGAGGGATGATACCCTTGAGTACAGATAAGTACCTGCTTGCAAATATTTTGTGATTTGAGACTGAAGAGTTAGAATCGATGCAATTTGCTTTTATGGAGGTACTCTGTAAAAGATAAGTATTTTTGAAAATACTCTTCATAGTCATTTAGAGCAACTGCAACATGGAGCAAACTTTAATATCCGATCACCGTTGAGGATTGGAGGATTTGGCTTCCTGGCTGAATTCTAAGGAAAATGGCAAAGGATACTTGTGTTTCAGCACAGGGTTATAGACATGTATTTCACCATGCAGTTACTGTTGAAAAAGTATTCTAGAATTATAAAGGAGTGCAAAAAATGTGGCTGGTGGGAAGAACAGACGTTTTCAATTTTCCCTTTGTTTCAACCTACGCTCGTTTTGGTTGTTTTTTCAGAATTTTATTGCCTCCTCCAGTTCTCCCACCTCTCCCTCCAGCTCCCTTTAACTATGACGCCATCTCTTCCCTTGCAAAGACAGATTGTGGCAGCCTTACACTGTAAGAACAGGGGGGACTAAGCTGGTAGCAAAAATGTTATTATATTAAACAGGATTTTAAGCACCCTTGAATGTAAAATATTGTAAATTCTTAATTGGAGAAGACTTATTTTCAATCAACTTTGGTTAGTCTTTGAATTCATATTCTTCGGAATCAATTTCATCTCGAAGGGGTGGTTCCTTGTGTCCTTGTGGTTTGATTCCTTGTGATTTAGCCTTGTGGTGTCTTCTTTGATAAAATTGTATTCCCTGAATGCTTTTTACAGCTACAATTTCTAATCATTTAATGACTTTACCTGGTGGCTCTTTAATGTTCGCCGTCCCCTTAACAAGTTGATATTATATTATCCTTTTTTGGACTCTTCAGTTCAGTTTATGTTTTTATTTGAATTCCAAATCATTCATACATATCAAATTCCAGCTAATCATATGAAAATAACCAAGGTACAATCATATCGTAAAGAATATGAATATAACACAATGAAAGAGAAATTAATTTGATATATAAATATAAATACAGAGACAAAATTAAATGTGCGAGGGAGTTATTTAAAGGAGGTGCTCTCTAAATAGATCAACCAACCAAAATTGGTTGTTTTTGGTACGAAAATATTCTGATACTGGCAAATAAAGATATATTTTTAGGACCAGATTAACAGATCTTGTCAAATATTATGTTTGCATTCTAGTTCCTTCATTAAGGGAAAACAATGTATATTTTGGCGGTCCAGCTTTCTCGGGTGTGGTGATGTCGACTTCTAGATGTCAACGTTAAGACATTGTTCTTCAGTGCGCTACTACACTGATTTATTGTTGCGTTTTTATTGAGGACTTATTGCGTTACGGAACGGTATAGATTTTGTTTAAACATAGACCTGTCTCTAAACTACAGTCATTTTTTATAGGAAGCATGCGTTAAGATTGCGTTTTTCCAGTTTCTTAATACTTATTGCATTTCTTGAAAGTATCTAGATGTCCATTCCATTCATTTAACATTTATGGATTGAGATTGGGAAAGTTTCATATGAATTGAGGAAGTTTTATTTCATACCAGAATTTTTTAGGGAAGATAAGAGGATTTTGAATTTGGAAAATAGGAATTTTCGAGGCTTTTGAAGAAGTTTTATGCCTACCAGCCAATTAAAAGAGATCTAGAATCTTCGGAGTTCTGCTTTTTCAATTGTGTTTTTTATTTCGTTTTTCTTGTTATGTTTGTTGTGTTGTGTTTGTTATGTTGTGCTATGCTATGCTATGCTATGCTATACTATGCTATGCTATGCTATACTATGCTATGCTATGCTATGCTATGCTATGCTATACTATGCTATGCTATGCTATTCTATGCTATACTATGCGTTACTATGCTATACTATGCTATGCTTTGCTATGCTTTGCTATGCTTTGCTATGCTTTGCTATGCTTTGCTATGCTATGCTATACTATGCTATGCTTTGCTATGCTTTGCTATGCTTTGCTATGCTTTGCTATGCTTTGCTATGCTTTGCTATGCTTTGCTATGCTTTGCTATGCTTTGCTATGCTTTGCTATGCTTTGCTATGCTTTGCTATGCTTTTTTAGTATACAAGACAAGCGTGGCTCTCAAGCGAAAAGTTTAAGGTCATTCAATAAGCTTGTATTGCACATGTTTCCTTCCCAGAATTGTTAAAAACAGTAACAAAGATTGAAGCTTTCTTTCTCGTTTCTTATCCGATTTACACATTGTGTCGCGTAAGAATGATTCCAGGCTCAAAGCTCCGAATCACAAATTTAAAAAAAGTTGAGGTCCAGCATGAATTTAGCTTTTCTTATTTATGTTACTTTTCAATCTAAAAAGTAGCTCTTACGCGCTTTGGTTTTAAAAAAAGCATTTACGAAATCAATCTTTGTTTACTAAAATCAACGAAATGTAAGAAACTAGGTACTAGCTAGTCCCTTGCTTAATGTATGTATGTATGTATAATTTTGCCATCAAATAAATTACAATTTAAAATTAAGAAAAAATAAAGATCTAATTACAGATATATAAAATTTACAGATAAAAGTTAAAAACATAGACTAAAAACACCCCCAGGTTAAAAATGGCAGGGATAGCATTAAAAAGGTCAATACGATCTTGTTTCCATAATGGTCCCTCCAGAGGTGTTATAAGAAAATGTGTACATTAAAAATTGATTTGTATTCAAAACTAGGTGAAAAGTAATTCTGGAAAAATGTTAACTAGAACCTTACTTTCTTAATACTTTCTTATGAAAATGCGTGTACCACGCGTTTTTAACTTCACTGAATTGGTGATCAACTCAAGCACCTTTCTTTTAAAGTCAGAAGTTTTTCTTGCAAAAACTTGCAAAGAATCGAAACTGTTTGTTTCCTCTGACGTCAGCGACGGTGCGTTTTGTTTTTCGTTGTCGTTTACCCGTGCGGGGACGAAGTTCCGCTAAGTGTTATGGCGTTTCCATGGTGAGCCAGAATGTTAGTTGTCGCGACACCTAACTTGGAGGGGGGTCGTTTGGAGATTTAACCCAAAAAGTTTTATGTTGCAAAGCAAACTAGGAACAAATCAAAGTTTGTACATTACTCATTCAAACTTGAATGGGATAAAAAGACTGATTTTTGTAATTGCAAGCTCAAAGATAAAGGGACAATGGAGCTTTTTGATGAATATTTGTTCAAGCTGCGGGTTTACTCACCCCCGGTTTTTTTGTTTGCTAGTGCAAAGATCACCATTTAGCTATTTGATCGCTGTTCGTGAAGTAATTTACCGTTCGCTACACAATGTTTGAACTCAAGAGAGCTTAAACAAGAGAGATAAATACGCTATTACTTGGAAAGTTTGCTGTTTTTAATTCCTTTGTTTTGTCATTTGAATTTGAAGATGACAAAATTAGTTACTCTTTTTATAAAAGCCTTTCTCCCGAGATTTCTCTTTATCGGACATGGATTTGTGTGTATTTGGTTTGCCTACATGGTTGCCAATAATTCGGCATGGTGGGCTTTTAGTGTCTGCCTTGTGTTGATTGTCGTTGAAGGAGTCTACAACGTCCTCGTGAGGAAAGGAAAGGAGTTTGACTGGTGAGTCTGATTTATTTTCAAATATTCAATTAAGGTCGAATGACCTTTATTTCCGTTGCATCAATTGACAATTTGGCGACTCATTGAAAATAGGATTAATCGAAATACGAATTGTCGCACTCCTAAATATTGTTTATGATGATGAGATTCACTTAACTTTAGATAATTGTTTCAAGGAATTGCGCTGATATTCCACGGCTGACTATGCCAGAGAACAGAAATATATTTTTTACCTTCGGTTTTTTTAAAGTATTATGTAAATTACCTATGTTTTCATATTGAATTTCTAGTTAAAATTCAAATGCTTGTTGAAAACTCCGTGATCTTATCACCTTGTTTAAGTTTCAAATGGACATCCAAAGTTGTCATGAATAAATTATAAGATGATTATCAGAAGCAGGTCAAAATCCAAATGCTATTTAGATTGAAAAGACTCAATCTGTTGCAAGGACAATAAAGTTTTGTTTCAAACTTGTGTATATTTAATGAAAAGGATTATACTATAGTCCTACCGTCTGTACTGTTTGCTGTAATCCTTTAAAAAGGTCTGAATATGTCCTCTTAAACTTAACTTCTTCTTTGAAAGGAACAAAAAGCATTCTCTTTTGCTCTGTAAGACCTCTTCAAATGTATGAAAGATGGGTTAGAATGTGAGAACCAATAGATCTTGCTTTCCTATTTTCCTTGTATTGCATTTATGTTATGACTAAGGCTATAGCAGAAAAAGATGTTGAAGAATGGTTAGCTTGTCTCTGATCTCATCAGTGGTTTAGCAGTATTTTCTGAAACAACCCAATAATAAGCCGAGTACCCTTAGCAACAAAGATTCCATAAATATACTAGATTGTGTGCGGTACAATATAATGCTATAACAATCAATGTAAGTAAATTGTACCAAGAAATTTTTTTTAAAATAAATAACTACCTTTCCAGCATAATCGGTTATCAAGTGATAACGAGCTTTGCTCGAAACGTTGTTGTGTATCATTTCTCAGGCTATTCTTACATTAGTTTTCCTTGACCCCCTCCCCTGTGTGTAATTATATTTATTTGTGATACCCATGCAGCCCCTCTCTGTGTAGTCAAGACTGCCACCAGTAATGAAGAAGAGGAAAGCTAACCAACTTGCCAAATTTATTTTGGTGATCACTGTTCATTTTTCTCCCTGTTTAACTCCTTCCATTTATGTTTTAAGTTGTTCTTTTCTAGGGTTTGTCCCAGTGCATTCTTCTACACAATTGTGCTTTTGTCTACTTTGATCAGCCTGCGGCGAGACATGGTGTCTTGCATCACACAGGGAATTTCAGAGGATAGTTGTTTTGTTGTGAATGCCGAATCTGCAAATGGGCTTACAAAGGTAAATGCATCATTTACTTCCTTTATATTTACATTCATTCAACCATTTGCACTACTATAGTAGATAATTTACATTGATCATCATCAACATAACATAATCAACATAATCAACATAATCAATCATCATCATAATCACTGTATTCATCATTATGATAACAAACAAGCAACAATTATCAGTAATTATCAATTAATGTTCCATTCTTTGGATGCATATTATATCCCTCTAAATCAAATGATGAATGTCACTGCCAAAAAAGGTAAAGGAGCATATGAACATAAAAGAAACTGCACATAGCAATAGCACAATAAAACTTAGGCTCTTTCTTTGATGATGTTTCTTTAAACAAATCTTTTATCTCCTTTGTTTTAGTATATTCTTGGAAGAAGCATGAGTTGGAGGGCAATGATAATTGAGCAGACAGGGGTCTTGATGCTCATTATTGGCAGGTGGACTTTGCCAAAGGGATCCATTTCTCGCAATCAGTTTTCACAGATAATTCTTATCTACATTGCTACAGCTGCTGACATTGTTGAATTCTCAGAGATCTATGGGGAAGAGAAAGTATCCACTGTACCTGAAACCTCTAGCATATTTAGGGATGTCATGGGAATATGGGGTTGGAGCATTTTGCAGTTTTCTCTTACCATAGCATTGCCTGAAGAAGGACTGAAACAGGATGATGAGGAAGAAGATCTTTCAAATGCTAAATGGAGGCAAACAAATCGGGTTGCACCAATGTCATATTTACACTATAAGTCCATGCTTACCAAGGGTTGGGACACAGAAGCACAGAAGTCTGGTACAACTGATAATAGGGTTCAATGGCGTGGTGGCAAGTTTGAGGTTGACAAGACTGGTCATGGTAGTCCACAACAAGTAATTGATGATTCGTCTGGGGAAGATTCAAGCTGTTGTCTTAAAGGAGATGAGCTGAATAAGTGCATTGCCAAGCATTTAGAACTTATTGCTTGCCTTATACCTGTTCTTATGCAAGATGGACCTTTCTTTGCATATCGAATGGTATTGCTTATAAAATACAAAATTGTTTCTTCAATGATGATACTGCTGACCATTAAAAATGCTTTGGTGATTATAGTACAGATATATCGTATAATGATTTTGTATTGTTATGAGTCTGATGAGAATGAGCCAGATATAAATGACCCATCAGTCAGGGTTCAGACAGCTTTGAAAGGAACACATGGAATTTCAAAGCGATCAATAAGTACCTTTAAAGGAAGTGCTGCACTACAAGCAATTTCTCGAATGCAAGTGTCATCCAATCAACACAAAAAGACACCAGCTGTTGCATAAGACTTTTCTAACTGTAAGGTGTTGTAATGTATTAGTTTTAGAAAAGATGTGTATATAACAGTCTTCCAGTGTTTTGTCTTTTGGATACCATAGCAACATGAAAATTTTGTTTATTGTGTTTGTAAATGGTTTGTGTGCACTAGAAAAAGTATTTGCATATTAACACAGTGAAGATTTTTGAAGAACTAATTGACTCTTGTTAGATGAGATTTTTGGCACCATAGATGAAGGAACCAAGGGGGACAGAGGCATGTTCCCCCTACTTTTCAGAAACAAGGGTTAAGTAACTTCATGCAGGCTACAGAGGTGTGTCCCTATTTTGACTATATGTGCCCCCAGCTTTTGACATGCTTCCTATGCGACAGAAGTGAGTCAAATTCCATCTAAGTAAAAAGTAATAACATAGAAATGCATGTTTGAGCCCCTACAGCCCCCCTCCCTCCAAGATACTTTGCCTCAGGGAACTTAATAGTACTTCTTCCAGTTTCCCAACAGTAAAGACAGTACACATTTTTTCAATATTGTTGCACAAACTTGATGCATCTTCTCTGAGGTGCTGTCTTGCAGAAAAAATTATAGAAAATATTTCACTTCCATGTACTCTCAGTAGCTGGTTACTTGCAGCAGCTGCAGAGCCTTTTCCGTTCATCAAAAAGGGTATTTTACGTATAAACATGTTACGTTAAAAGTGGCTGTGTTGTTAATATGCGTAAGTCAGTGTTTATATTGTAAATATTATAAAACATGACAGATGATTCTATTGTACATTTTTATACATTAAATCAGATTCAAAATGATTCAGTAATGATGTTATATTATGACTGTTAAATTGATGTTTTCTTGAAATCAATAAGAATATAGCAAAATATGCCTTTTGTGTTATTAGTTTTCTAAGGCTGTGTTTAACGATGCTGCTAATTAAATAAATTTAGCTTGTGATGGGGCATGGAGTAGATAGTGTTTGATATATAAATTAGGATGCCAGTAAGTGATCTGTATAAGCAATAACAATTTTCTTCACAATTTTAGACGTTCTCAAAAGCTATGTATCAGATGCTGCAAAACTTTGAACAGACTGCCTTGTTTGAGGCTCTGACAAAATTGCCTCTCCTCCCCCCGGAACTAACATGTGTTATCGAGCCTGAAACCCTTTTATACATAAATTTTTCACAATAGATTATTTTGGTGCGTGATGCATAGCACATTTCAACAGAAAATGAAAAACTAAGCTGTCGTGGCATAATATTTTTGTTGACTTTTGTTGGCAGCATTTTCTTTCTGAAAGTGAACTTGAAAGAAAATAGCGATTTGTATGCCTAATATGAGATTTTTTGCATGGTTTCCACTCAACTTTAGGATAAAGTAGAAACTATATGTTATTTACAGCTCACCCTACACAGATTTGTGTTCTAACATCCTGTTGTTATTTATTTCCCAATTCTTAAACAATTTGTTTTGTTTCATCTTATTAGCTTCCTGTACATAAAAGAATTGCCCAGGGTAAAAGTTGCCAATTAGCATACAGTGACTTCAAATCAGGGGGTAGCGAGAGGGGGGTGGCGAGAGGGGGGGAAGGAGCCTGGGCCACCTCAATATTTTAAAATGTCCCCAAACAAAAGCATTGGCAGATCATAGCGAGTTTGAAAACATGCACACGTTGCCTCGTAACTCTCTCTCCCGTTATTGTATTGGTTTTTACATATTTATGCATGAAGTCAAAGTCCTAACTACCCCCATGCTTCGAATTGTGCTTGATCACCTGCGTAAAACGATATGACCCTCATTACAATAATTCATACGCTCTCTACGTTTGCCCATCCTTTAAGCTGTTTATCCAGTTGACTGGATAACGTGGATAATCATGGGATAAACGTACATTCTTTTTTACATTGGTATTTTTAAGAGGTGGAAATAGAAAATTTTACAAACATTCACAATTTCTTTTAGCCCATTCACCAGGTTTTCAAGTAACACGTAACATAAACACGGATCTTCCTTTCATTTCTGCAATTTTCCAAAAAAAATTACTTTGGGCAAGAAAATATTTTAACTAGACTAGTTTTCGATACGCTCAAAGACAGAGGACAAACTTTATAAGTACGAGATCCCTTCAAGCTCAAAAGACTGCCCTTTCTTTCCATGTATATTTTTAATCTCCAGCAATGATTTAAGTTGATTTTGTGTTGGTTCTTCATATTAATATGGTACTGTATTCATATGGTATAATATCTAAATTTGTAAAATATAGCTCGTAATCTCAGTATTTTTCATTTACAAGTATACATCACATTTTATTTAATCTTTAGGGTTCCTGTTTTCATTGTATTAACAATTCAATAAAAAGGACACTGGGCCAGAGATTCTCAATACCCTTAGCAACATTTAATGGAAATATTAACCCTACAATAAACTTTATAATTGTTAGTTATTTTCGTATACTTTTAAAAACTGTTATTAAAAATTGTTGTTGAATGAAAAGAATCTGATTTGATTTTATTTGATTTGTTGGTTCGATTTCGATAATAGCCTCTCTTTCACGTGAAAAGCATTCGTCAGCATACGTCAGCATCAGTCAGCTTTTTCGCTCTGTATTAAGGTTCTGGAAGAAGGAAGAAAGCAATCTGATAGAAACGTCGAAGTCGGAGCACAAGAAAAGGTAACAAAATTCTCTAATACTATTCATGGAAATTGTTGCTTTACAGTTACAAATCAAATATCGTATTTATATATCTCTGCATATATAACTATTATTCTTTTATACCTCTGCAAAATAAGATTTTTTTATGGCCTAAATGTGAAAAGCTGGTTCCAGAATTATACGTTTGTGCTGTTTAGCCAAATTTGGCAGCATTTACTGTGGTTTGATGTTTCTTTCAAAGGCTCGAAGGCATGAATTTTCTTGCAAAGGCATGAATTATCTACCGAAATTCACTGATAAGCATTTACTGTACCATTTTTAGTCTCAAAAACTATTTTTTAGAAAGGGAATTAACGAGGAATTATGAAATTTCTGTGATTGGCAATTCAAGATATTGATTTATTTGATATTCGTTTTTAGATAAACTGAAATTGCATACAAATATATGTAATATTTAAGTTATAAAAAAGGCTTAAAATTCCACAAGACAACAAGAGGAAGGCAATGCCAGAGTTCCACAAGAGGAAGGCAATGACAGAGTTTGTTAGTTAACTTTAGAACAATATTCTGTTTTCAAAATTGGTAATTTTTTTCTTTTCATAATAGCAGTGAATTTTATAGAAGAAATTTTTTGCTATGTTTAATGATATTTGTTTGTTATAAAATTTTTATAGATTTACTGCTTTGCATGCAAGCATAAAGGTGTAGCAATTTGATCAAACATGGCAAAAGTGTATCTACACGTTTATGAAGTCACAAAGGGACTTGCTGCACAGCTTTCTTCTGTATTATTAGGTTTGTATTGATTCCTTTTGTTTGTCTTATTTCTTAATGCAAGTATTGTTCTGCGTTTGAGTAGATTCAAATGGACTTCAATGTACTTCAAATCTGCTTTAACAAAGTCTGTTTTACTACAATCTGTTTAACGATATGTTAAAATATGTTTAAAATAAAGTTTTAACCCTAAAACTTGCTTATAATGGATTGTCCTTGGATAACTAAAAACCAAATAATGACAGCCAAAGAATGTTGAATACCTTGAATTATTTCAATACACTGGTGATAATATTGCTCTAGCCTGTTGTGTCCGCCATTTTGGGTTGTTGTTGTTGGAAGAGGAGGAGGAAGGCAGAAGGAGGGACTGCAGAGACTGACTGAGACTGTTTGCTTTGCAACTGTTATAATGTGATACTTGTTGTGTTATTTACATATATACATCAACAGCAAAAGGATGATGTCTGGTTTTCTTGTCTCGGAGACTTTATAATGGCGACGAGGATAAAGCTGAGGTAAAAAAAAAAAACTAGGCCAATTCAGGAATCAGCGTAAAAGGTAGAAAAACTAGGCCGATTCAAAATGGCGGCGAGTTATGGATTGCATGCAATGACCAAGTTTGACCCGGAAGATCACCAAGGGAATGTTTATGAAGCATTTTGTGACTTTATTGATTCTTTTCATTATGAATATGATGCAATAGCCAAAGAGCCACCGAAGGAAGGTAGTAACACAGAGAAAGCAGCATGGGTAGAGCAAGATAAACGGAAAATTTTTTTAGGAAGGTTTGCCTCAAGAAACCTTCAAAGGGATTTTGAGGAAGTTGTTCCTGAAAAGGATAGGGGTAAAATCACTTTTATGGAGATGACAGCAGCACTAAAGGGAAGATATGATATCAGTAGGAACAAAACACTTGCCAATTTTGAGTTTCACAAGTTGTTTCAGAAGGAAAGTGAAAGTTTTGATTCTTTTACAGTAAGAGTAAAGCACGAAGCCAAAACATGTGAATTTTCTTGCACCAGTGAAACTTGTACAGTCAAGAATATCCTCACCAGAGACCAAATCATCATTGGAACATCGAATAATGAAATTCGCAAAAATGCCCTAAAGAACCAGTGGGACCTTGATAATCTGATTAAAGGTGGGAGACAACTGGAGGCAGCAGCAAGAGGGGCACAGAGAATCCATGAAAATAGTGAAGCACCTGTCTCCAGAATAAAGAGACCAGGAAAATACTCCAGAAAAGGGTCAAAATCAAAATATGAAGGAAAATTGCGAGAGAAATATTCCAACTGCCCAAATTGTTTATCGAGAGTATGTAAAGGAGGAAAGCAGTGCCCAGCAGCAAATCGTGAGTGCTTTGACTGTGGTAAAACAGGACATTTTAAAGGCTCGGCAATATGTAAAAAGAAGAGAGAGAAGATTAAACCTCGCACTCGGCGGGTAGAGAGCAGTAGCAGTAAGGATGAAAGCTCTGATACTGAAACATGCACATCTGAAAGTGACTCAAGTTCTAGCCAGAATATTAACCGTGTACGGTTCATGAAGAATGTTACAAAAATACGACGCATGCGTATTCGCCAGCAGATGCGCAAAACATCAGAAAAATCACGCTATCAAGTTGAGGTGATAATTAAAGAGCGAAGAGTAAGTGCATTTGCTGACACAGGGGCGGATATTTGCGTAATGTCTAGGAAACAAGCTCAAGCTTTGGCTTTGCCCCTTGGAAAAACGAAGATGAAAATACGCCCATATGGATCAAAATCAGTAAAATGTTGTGGTTACTATATAGGCACAATCATGCATGGAGAATCAGTTGCCAATGCATGCATATACGTGGTCAAACAGGATCTTGAAACTTTGCTCAGTGGAAGAGTTTCAGAAGAGCTAGGAATCATAACATTTAACCCAACTCCAGATAACCAACAGCCAAGTATTCGGCGCAACACAGAAATCAGAGATGACGTTAAAGCAAGCATTATTTCGCAATATCCAGAGGTATTTACAGGTATTGGTACATTAAAAGACCATTTTGTGAAGTTTCACATAAATGAAAATATTCCCCCAGTAGCTGCACCGGCCAGACCTGTTCCATTTCATTTACGGAAGAGATTTGAGAAAGAGATACAGACCATGGAAGAGAACAATATAATAGAAGAACATATAGGACCAGCACCATGGATTTCAAATGTAGTGCTCGCCCCAAAAGATGATGGTAGTATTCGGGTCACTGTTGACATGCGTCAAGCAAACCGGGCAATTGAATCAACAAACATTCCAATTCCCAGAGTAGAGGACATTAAAACACAACTTGCAAGGTGTCAACATTTTTCTAAACTTGATTTTAAGTCTGCATTCCATCAACTGGAGCTTGATGAAGAGTCTAAGAAGAATCTGGAAGGAAGGGAAAGTTAACCCAGCTGATTACCTTTCCCGACATGCAACACCATTTAGTAGCATCAGCAGAGATCAACAAAAAGAAACCAGTGAACTAGAAAAAACGGTCTGGCTTCTTCAATATGCTCCATACACCGAGTCCATTTCTATGAGTCGAATCATCGATGAGACAGATAAAGACAAAACACTTCATGAGTTGAAGAAATACATTAGAAAGGGATATGTACCAACGACAAAGGGTAATCTCGCTCCATTCAAAAAGATCTTTGCGGAACTTACCATCTCAGATGAGGAACTGATAATGAAAGGAGAACGCATTATTCTTCCTGAGAGTTTGTGGGACATTGCCCTTGTAAAAGCCCACCAGGGAGGTCACCCAGGAATGAACAGCCTTAAACGCCGCCTACGCAGTCATTTCTGGTTCCCAAAAATGAACCAAAAAGTGGAAGAGAAAGTGGCATCCTGTAAAGAGTGTCAACTATTTACAAACAAGACAATGCACGAACCCATTCAATCTCACAGAACGCCGGAACATGCATGGCAAGATGTAAGCATTGATCTGTTTGGTCCTATGCCCGACAGTAAGCATGTGTTGGTAGTTCTGGATAAAATGAGTCGATTTCCTGCAGCAAAGCTTGTCCCAAACACCGCAGCTAAGCCTGTCATTAAAGCATTGGATGACATTTATACAGATTTCGGTTATCCTGAAATGCATCGCACAGACAATGGACCACCATTTGATTCAAAAGCATTTGCTGAATTTTCCCAAGGCAGCGGTATTGATCATGTTAAAACCTTCCCGTATCACCCACAAGCAAACCCTGCAGAAACATTTATGCGTCCTCTCGGAAAAGCGTTAAAGGCGGCCCATTTCAATAAAAAGGATAAACATACAGCTATTAAGGAAGTCCTAGCAACATATCGGGCGACGCCTCATCCTGCAACGGGAGTACCACCGGGAGATCTCTTGCTTCGTAGTGGGTATCGAAAAGATTTTCCGCGACGGCAACTGACTGAGCAACAGATACGCGAGGCTCAGATGCAAGACAGAGCACAACGTATGTCTCGAGAGGACCAAATGAACAGGTCGACCCATAGAAAGAAGTCCATCTACACTCCAGGGGATCTTGTGTACATACGGAACATGCAGCGGTGCAAGTTTGATCCCATCTTTGGGCCAGAGCTGTATAAAGTCCTGTGCACAGAAGGTAGCGGCCTGTTACTAGAAAGTTTGGCTGATAATAAAAGTTTCAGAAGGCACTGTGATGACGTAAAGCCTGCAGTTAGCCAAGGAAAAATCGAGGACCATACTATTTGGATAGAGAACCAAGCCCATCAAACAGAAAACGCGAACAACCAAGATCCGGTTCCAGACATGACAGAAGAGCCAGTAATTGCCCCAGCTGGCGTTACTGCGCAACATCCAAATGAGGACAGGGCTACAAGACCTCGGAGGGAAACTCGTTTACCTGCTAGGTTCAAAGACTACGTCCGTTACTAAAAAAGGGGAAGTGGTGTTGTGTCCGCCATTTTGGGTTGTTGTTGTTGGAAGAGGAGGAGGAAGGCAGAAGGAGGGACTGCAGAGACTGACTGAGACTGTTTGCTTTGCAACTGTTATAATGTGATACTTGTTGTGTTATTTACATATATACATCAACAGCAAAAGGATGATGTCTGGTTTTCTTGTCTCGGAGACTTTATAATGTTTAAGATGACAGCAGCACTAAAGACAATTAAGATCTGTGTCAAAAGTTTAAAACAAATCCAAATTTTTCCCAATAACTTTCTGTGTAAATCTCTTACATTTAAGCCAACAAACTCTGCCAAATTTGGCTGTGCAAAGTTGAAGTTTAGATAGCAGTTTGATTACTGTTAGCAAAATTTCATTGCATAAGTCAAATGTCTTTCATTTTGATAAACTACAGAAACATTTCATTCCAAATGGTGTTTAAAAATTTTCTTGTTGAGATGTTTTCCAACAACAGGTAGTAAGTCTGTTAGCTCAGTGGTGTCTTAAGAGTGTCACAAAGGAGCAGTAGAAGAGCAAAAGCTTGCAGCTAATTAGAATTGTCATCTAATATGTCAGTAAAAAAGACAACCTCAAAATCTGGGTGCAATTTTTTAAAATGCTGAAAAATTTGTTGCTCTCTTTTTTTAAAGCTACTGGTCCTGATTCATATCCTAGCATGGTAATTACGGTGTTAAATACTTTAAATTTGAAGTTTAAATTTTCTTAGACTTTTAACTGGCATCACATGGAAATACTTGAAAATGAGCTTTTAAAATTATCTGTTTTCTTTTGTTACATTAAACGATTTAAGAGAAAAATGATTGCACCTCTCATATATAGTTACATAATCAACTTAGGAATGAAAGCCCACCTATTCTCATGCTCAGTTTCTTTTCTCAGAATTTTGCCTGTATTCTAGAGTTAAAAGGCTACTTTTTGTGTTTAACACAGCCATTTTCCTTTTAGGAAGACATATTCGTGGAGTTTGGTAAGTGGTTGTGATGGTATTTTTTATTCAGTCTAAGAATGTGAACCATGAAACTTTTAAAACTTTTATCACTTTGTACTTTTTTCCTATTCTTTCTGTATCATGTAAGCATATAAATTTTATCAATTTATTATTTGATACTTGCAGTTTATTCTCATTGGGTTATGGGACTATTGACTTTTCACTTGTCAAAATGGTTTTTGAACACTGTCTATTGTTATTGGTTATTTTTTTAATTTCAGGCATACTGGTGTAGTCTGTTTTGGCACAGAATACTGTTTTGGAAGTGGTGGAATTATGCAGATGAACCCAGTGTGTTGTAAATTTGATTCAATTTTTTTCTTTTAAGATTGACTCAAATAAAAGCCAGTTTGCACCATGCCATAACAAGGATACAAAATATGGCAATGCATGCAATAAGACAAAGTCTTTTATTCAGCTTCATGAAGAAATAGCCAGAAATTCTATAGATCTATGTATACCAATTCATATTTGGGTTGGTGGAGTAAGGATTGGGATGGAGTTAGTTTCTCAATTGGAATGATAATATAATAATGTGTTATGTTATGTTTCTGCCACATATTCAGACATTGCATAAAATTGTTCAAACATTCTAATTTTGGATGTATACCTTTGCTTGAATAGCCATCAAGTCTCAATCTGTATTTAGCAAAGCATGAAGATCAGTATCTGTGTGTCATCGAAAATATGGTATTAGGTTATTTGTGATCCTTTCTTAATGAAATCTAAAGCGGGAGACATCTATTCAAGGTTTGTTCATAAATGAAGGATAGATAAATATATCAATTATTAACTTTATTTGGCTAAGACTTATGCTTGATTTTTTAATAGGGTGAAACAATAATTGGTTCTCCAGATGAGGTTATGGATCTTGGAGAAACTCATGTATCTCTTGATCTTTTTCATGAGTTTTTGTTTGCTGTTGGAGAAGACCAGTTTAGGTATGTTTAAAATCAACTACTTTTGTTGCAAAATTAACAGCCACAAGACTAATTTTTGTGTTGATCAGTAATTGATAAAATCAAACAAAGAAAACAATTTATAAAATCATTTAGTGAGATCATTTAATCTATCAAAGTAAATCTAATTTATTTAATTCTGCATAGTCAGAATGATTGAGTTCTGAGTTTGGAAATACCCAATGATTGGATTTATTTGACTTGATTAATTTTAAAAGAGCTGTTTCTCAGAAACCATAATTTCTATTTGTAAAACAAAACATAAACCACAATTTTCGCATTTGATTGAAGAATATTATTGCTTTTTTCTGGCCTAAAGTTGAGGTTGCATTGCCAAATATGACTCTATGTAATGATTAATCTAATTCAATGGTGACAATAAAGACATGCAGCGTTAAAGCTTTGAGCAATAAGGACTGAACAATTCTGTTTGCAGTATTGTCTTTTGATGCTGTTATTTTTTTCTGCTCCCCAATCAGCTGGGTTTGATCAAAATGGGTCAATCCACAAACTCATAAGCAATGTGTTTTTTAAAGCATAGTTTGCTGAAAATTTTTATAACAGCACTCAGGTCTAAATTGAAACAGCAAGACATTAAAACATTCTTCTGGATTCAGACTGATGAAATATAAGACCAGTGGTGGACACCTGGGGAGGTGAAGGAAGAACAGTCTTTTTTTCTCAGGCAATGGGAAAATGTGACATCATTTTATCAAAACAATAGGCTTGCCCCCTACCAACATTTGACCAAGTGTCTGCCAAGTGTATAAAAAGCATGACAACCCACTCAAATCTAAGATCCTGCATTTTGCATTGTCATTCTCAATTCATTCACTATCTTGTCGATTTTGCTCTCAAACATTTCATGCTTATCTTGATAATGGACAATCTTCTATAAATGAGAATCTCCATGTAAATTCTTGTGTTGTTACTTTTCAGGCCTGAAAAATACCATTTGTTTGAGCACAATTGTAATACCTTTTCCAATGAAGTAGCCCAATTTCTCACTGGGAAGAAGATTCCTTCATATATACTTGACTTACCAAGAGAAGTTGCAAACACACCAATGGGTGCAATGTTGAAAACATTTATGGATGGTATGGGAAGCCCTGTTAGTGGAAGGCTAGACAATACGACAAGACCATTAGCAAACCTTAACATGAATTCAAGCCATTCAAGTCGTTCAAGCCATTCAAGTCGTTCAAGTCATTCAAGTCTTTTGTCAAGAAGTCAGCACGATATGAGAGAGTGAGTTAATATTGTGATTCCAACTTTAAGAAAGCTCTTGTCTGCATTTTAATTACTTGTAGATGCAAAGTGATGGAATTAATTGTGAAACACTAGAAACAAATTGTGTCAAAATTTGTAGAATTTAATAAGATTTTAGATAGGGAAAAGATTTTTATGATAAACTCGTAGTAGACTTTTTATGTAAATTTATATTGATACTTATAACTACGTTATAAAAGTCTCATGAATTCATTAGATTCTTAGTATACTTGTTAACCTAGCACAATTCAAAAAACGGCTCAAAGTTTTGCTCGTTTGGCAATTATTTTCCAAAAAACATCTTGAATTTTTTCAAAGCAATTAAACAGATCTTATCAATGTCCTCTATCACTATTTTATTTTATAGGCCTGAAACTTCAGTAAAGAAAAGTGACCGCAAAAGCGAAACCCCTGTTACATTTAGTTATGACGTAAGCTTTCTTTTCGATTTGCATGTTATATTTTGAAAGTCATTCGATTTATAAGGCTATTTTGCCATGGCGTTCTTCTCAGTGGAAGAATTGTACAATGATCAGGAAACATAGATGACTTGCCCAAATTTCTAAGGATGCACAGGGCGTCGCTGCTTAAGTTCCGCACGGAGCTGAACGAACTTCGATTCTGACAGAAGGGTTTGTCCAGTTTGGTCATGGCCCAGTTTGAATTCCTTGATTTCTGCTCGGAGAAGTCCATTAAACAGTAAATTCTGGTGTCTCTGAGACGTGGGTAACGAGAAAAATCTGACTGGAACAGTGGGACGGGCTAGGGGCTACACCCCAAGAACAATCACCACCCCTTTAGAAGACCACCCTTTTAGAGATTGGCATGGATTTTTTCTTTTTGCACAATGTCCTTTATACACTTAAACAATAATTTGAAAAACTGTTGCAAGTAGAGGTTCAAGAAAGATATTACACGGTTGCGGCTAGCAGCTGGTATGGTGGCGCAGGAAAGAGGCTTATCTATGTTCTGTAAAGGCAATATTTATCTCTGTGAGACCTAAAATATTGTCTAGCAATTTTTTTGGAAATGGAAAAAGAATTTAAGTCCTTTGTCCATCCTTATGCAAATGGAAGATCTTCTATACCACATGACTGATTATACTATTCAACAAACAAATTGCAAAAGTTTCCTCAGGAAGATTCTGGTGAAGCATTTGAATCCCCTGCCCCCTCCAAAGACGCCCCTAGCTGACGTGGCTACTTATATCCTGCGGTCTAGTATTTTGATTTGCCATCCTGTATTTCCCCATTAGATTTATGATTGGAGTTGCTGAAATCTAACGTTCTTCTTCGACAGGTTAAGGAATGTTGCAATAGATTTCATCACCTGTTTGAAAATACAGAAGATATTATCAACCCTAATATCATAGACAATCAGACAAGAAATGATGAAAAGTTAGAAAAGGCTGTTGATACTCTACGTAAGTTCAATATCAAATATCAATTTTCTAAGTATTTTCTTTAACGTCTGCTTCAATTTTTAGGGGGGTTTCTAACAAGATTTTGAAATTTCCTTTGACTTTGAGAAGGGGGTAAAAACAATAGATTGAGACATAAAGACAAAAAAATGGATGGAAGCAATGGATTTGATTGATTTTTAAATATAAAATGCTGGATTTGATTAATAATGTGATATTCACACTTCCTTTAGTTATCTTAAAGATGCTCTGATTACTTTGTTTATCAGTTATAAACAGAGCAAATAATTTCACTTATATTTGCAAAAGGCTTTGACTAACACATGACTAACACAGTTCTGTTGCTAGATCATTACTACAATATTATTTTACCTTTAGAAAAGATGCTAGATATTCTGGAGGAGAAGAAAGAAAAAGAGCATTTTACTTCATTTGTTGACATTTTGTCGATATTAAGTTTGCGCAATGGACTAACAATATTGAAAATAAAAAAAAGTAAGTGCCGTGATTCAATGTTTTTATTACTGAAGTCAATCGTCATGACATATTTGCTCTGTTTTCTAGGTTTTTATACTACTGTAGATTGAATTCCTATTCGTTATTCAATTCCTACCTCGAGTCACTTTCCTTAAATATCTTTACTCTTGCTCTTCTGCTGTTTAGTGTCACTCTCCTATGCAGGAATTCAATTTGCGTGTCATTCGATTTGCATTTTTTGCGTTTCTGTTTAGTGTCATTCAAAAGTTGATGCTCTGATGAAGCCCCGTATGCCTGGGCGAAATATTAGCCTTTACTGATTTACGAGTATTTATTGCTGTTTATTCTCGGCGTATTGCGGTGTTTCATATTTAATACATTATATGCCTTTCAGCCAATGAAAAATGCATCACTACTTTACTGCTTCTATGCCTTTGTGTGCAATACTTTTAAACCTCGTTTATGTTTACAAGAATCATAACTTCTTGTGGCTGCAGATTTAATGTTTGTTGTGTAATTCTTGCATTTGACGGTCGCCAGCAATACTTTCAACGCTTGCGATTTTAAAAGATTTATCTCGTACAAACTTATGTTGTTTGCCACATGATTAGAATGCATCAACTCCCTTAACGTTAATATCTTTGTTGAAATTTTAGTAGAAGGGATGCTTGTAATTATCATTCTAGGCCCAGTTATGTTCAAACGGCTGATCGAAACATTTAGAGAATGCTCATATAAAGAAGATGTCGCATCGAATGTGTTGAAGCTGGTTAGTAAAACGTTTTTCTTACTCAACTTTCTGTTTTGTTTAAAAGATCAAAATGTTTTCAGGGAATTATGCTGGATCGAATGAAAGTTTGTTTTCCTGAGCAATGAACAAAGACTTAGCTTAATATTTTTGGTAAAAATGTTTCCCAGGCTTGTAAACAGAGCTTTTCAGATATATGAGATCAAACAGAACATCAGTAAAATTTAACAGGCATGCTTGAACATTTACCCTAAGAGTTCATTTTTCTATACTCGTTTGTTGATTGCAGCAGACCAATGCGAAAACACTCTCAATAATTAAGTGCCCTCTAAACAATAGAGACACAGAAAGGGAGGGGCATAATGTTACGCAAAAGGGCAATGTTACTTAAATAGTCATGCATTTTACTTATTTGCGAATACTGGGGATGCATCTCCTAATACATCCGTGACTTTTGTCCTCCTGTTAAAAGATTCAATTACTTCTAAACTATAAACGGTGAGCCTGTTTACTGATTTTAGGGAATATCTCATCAATTTAGATTGATATTTTGAGAAGTTGAGTAAAAGTTTTGTTTCCCAGCTTAGGGATTTTAAACCAACCTGATAGCAAATCTCTTGTTTCCCCTGTCAATATTCAGCTGTTTTCTTAATTCAATGAATTAATTTTTAAGCATACGGTAATTGGGCAAAGTTGACGTGATGTTTTCTCTGTAGGGATCGAATCTTTTCAGTGACCAGCAGCATCGAGATTGGCTGATGAATGAACACAACGATGAAATTTCAGGCCTAGACAGAAGTTTTATAGCTGAGTGTGTAGGATCCTTGCTTAGCTCAAAAGCAGGCAAAGAGACAGTCGATGTTGCGCTAGTTTTTGCCTACAACATGAGTTTAGCAAAGGTAATAAATAGCTTTACTTTTGTTTTCTCTTTTCTTTGGTGGTGAGAAATATCAACGCAAGAATTTAATTGTTGTCATTGTTGATGTCTCAGCTTCTTCAAGGGTAAACGGAGTGTTTTACAGCCTTTTTTAGTATATATTTCGTAAGAGCACCGAGGTTCAATTGGCCAAAAAGATACGAACTACATAAAAACTAGTCCATCTGCAGATAAAAAATTAATAACAAAAACAATGTATTTTGTAAAATGTTCTATCATCAAAACAAAACATGTCACGCAAAACTGTCATTTAGTGGTTTTAGAAAAATTTTTTAATACGGATTACGTAGTTATAAAATATTACGTAAATACCGTAAATAAACGGTAGCCTCAAATTATCGAAAGAATAAGAACATCAACTTCGGCTTGGCCTACTTGCTGCAGGGTTGCAACAATGGTGAATTAGATTTCTCTTCCACTTAACTTTCTCCAACTCATCCTGCTGTGCCAGTCCCTCTATATAAAGTCCCTCTCAACTACGTCATTCCGTCCCTTCTTTGATGCTCACCGTCGAGTCCATCATGAGTGTAGGGTAAATGTTGAAGTTCTGTGTGTGGTTACACAGATGGAAAGCTTTTATCGATTGCAAATTAGCTAGAAAAAACCTTTCTTAAATTGATTTGTTTTTAGATGGATGAAGAGTTAGAAATAGAACTGTCATCTGCTTTGCTGCATTGGGTTGGTTCAGCAGAGAAAGGCTCGTTGCAAAGTGAGTTGTTTTTAGTTCAGTTTGTGACAGAGAGAGAATCTCTTAAAGAGATTCTAACGAATGAAAGAGTAAGAAAATCATGCTGGAATTAAAAACAACAGTAGTAATTACTTGTGGATTTCTTCAATTGCTTTGCGAACAGAGCACCAAACATAACGATATTTTAAAAGAATACTGTAGTTTCAAAATCAGAAAGCACTTTTTGGGACTGGTGTAATATATTTTTCATGGTTGATGTCTTCTAAAATACATCGAAGCTGCTTTTTTTATATGTATGGCTGTTGATTTTATATCAAGCTTGAATTCAAATTTATTTGTTTTCATAGTTCTTAAAACTTTATGTTTAATGACCTCATGATAGACAAAGCCTTGTACTCCTTGTGGTATCGTCTTGGTAGTGTAGTAAAGTAGTTTTGTAAGTAATGTAAATAGTAATATGTAATTGTAGTTTATTATTCAAATTAGCAACTGCCTTTAAACGTTAAGTGAAAATTTTACCCATCTGACACTTCTTTTAAGCTTTTAGCCAGGGTATATTCTTTAGTTGTGCTACTTATGATTGTATTTCTCAATTGGAACTAAAGTTATACAGCACCACAGATCATTTTTCATGTGCTTTATTAATCTATCATTGTTATATGTTATAATGATTTTGAATGTATCATTGTTATGACTTTCGCAGCTCGAAGATGTGTCTTAGCCATAAAGAATTTCATGCGTTCAAATGAACAAGTAAGTAATTTTTCTCTGAAAGTAGACAAACTATAGATACCTCTTGTATTGAGATTGTTGCTAGTTCTATGCGTACAATTGGCTTTCCAAAATCTGTATTAATCTTCTTCACAATCTCTTATTAATCTCCAAAACCATAAAATCTTCAAAATTTTCTGTTTAGATGTCATCTATAAGCATGTAGAGTATACAGGACTATAAGCATGGGAAAACAAATTGTTTGGTATGTCATTTTGGAAGTGGGGTACATTTAGAGGCTTACAAGTGTAGAGGCATCGTATGGAAGCTTAATGCCTGAAATCGAGCTTTTTGAGTGTTAGGGCAAACCAAGTGAATTTTTTAGAGTTTCTATTTTAGATTTTCCATCAGATTCTCGGTTTTACAAATTTTTAGTTGCCCCTCCCTAAAAATCTCAATTATTTGCGTCTCTGTCTCAGCTGCGTGATGGCAAAAACAGTAAAACTATTTTCCGAAAATTCCACTGTTTATGCCAGTAGAGGTTTTGCTAGCCAGAGTTTTTAATTGAATTTTTTCTGTCTAGGTCCGAGAGCTAGCAGAAATGACCACGGACCCTAGTATGCTAGAACTGTGAGTACAACACTTGATTTAGCAAACGTGTTGCGATGTTAGCTACTGATTAATAATGTAGTGATACTACCTTCCCCAATACGATATACGTGGATTTCGGAGGTGAGCCATGGCGAGGCACGTATGCCAAGGCTTTATCGACCCCAACGAATCTTACCATTGGTTTTGATCCTTCTCGATGATTCTCGGCCCGTTGTCTCTAATAGTAGCTGCTTGTAACTGGTTACACTGGAAACTGTTATTAAGTAAGGAGCTCTTTCGATGAATTACCTTTTCCTTCGGGGGAGGGATTTATTCCGGGGCTAAACTTTCTGACAAAGTTAAGAGAGCTTTATCATGTATAATGTAAAAAAAGTACTTGTAAGCTTTAAAAGTATTCAGTATTCAGGAGTAATTTTAAAAAGTATTTAGTTTAAATTTGTCCTATTTCATTAACAGGTAGAATGTGTTTTTCATTAAATCAATAAATTAATACAACAACCGTAACTTGCACAAAGCTGTGTTTTCTTGCCACTCTGGTTAACTTTTAAAGGGGATTGTTTGACAGACCAAACACACTTCGCTTCTTTCGCGTGGCATATAGTTGAATCCAGACGGGTGAATCCCGAGATCCTTTGAAAATCTATTCCCTGGATAAGTGTCAAGTCTATGTCCTTTTCTCAGAGTTTTATGGAACTCACATGGTGTATAAGGTCATATGCAAGTGAACCCGCCATACGAAAGGGGGCAGTTCTCTCACTGAGCTGTTACCATGTCGAGGGCCAATATTTAGAGGGAGTTAAATTTTATGCTACCAGAAGAAAACACAATAATCACTATTGATGGCTAATATTGCCTGTTTACCAGATTCCGAACTTACTGGATAAATGTCATCAAACACAAATTGTATCATATATTGATTACTTGCTTTTAGTTTTCCTAAATAATATGAATTGACCAGAGTTTAAAAATCTATGTTTAATTTGTTAACAGCTCTGGTAAAGTATGCTGTTTAACCAATGAAAGTTAAAATAATTCTTAAAAACTATCTATAGTATACCGTTTAAACAGTCAAGATTTAATTATATTCCGACCAGAGAGGGGGAGATGAGAAAATTTCAAAATAACAAAACAAACAAAATTTTAACTCATTTCAAATCAGCGATCAGTGGTGGACAGTTATTGAACGTGCAACCATTTTTGCCTGTGACTTACTTTTTTTACGCTTTGTTCGTCTCGTTCGCAAGTAAAAAGAACCGATTATGAGACTTTCTTCTTCTTCTTCTGTGGGTACCTTATCCGATCCGGACGTTGGCGATCATGGTTCTCCACACTGCCCTGTTTTTGGTGTTACAAACTCAATCCAGTACATTTGCTCAGGCTAGAGATATATGTAAGCCGTGGTCTTCCTCTGCTCTTTTTGCCTTCAATTTTTCCTGTCACTACTAGATGTTCTATCTTTTCTTTTCTTTACAGTGTTTAATAAAAGGGGCAGATCCGGCATTAGCTGCATAAGCGGGACATCATGGCTCTCGGCTAATAATGTTGTACGACGCCCTAATTATGGTTGGCTGCTTTTTCAAGAAATATGCTTGTGATTCAACAAAATTTCATATCACCGGAAAATTACTAGAACAACTGTTTGCAGCCTTGAAATATCTACATAGTTAGTCTTATAAAAGTTGACATCAAGACTTGTAATTACTAGCTCTTGTAGGACAATGAACACTCAATCTCAATAGTGAAGTATTAATTGCTTATGTTATTTTTATAATTTTCAAAACGAGCACTAAAACGTTACAAAGAGGAAAAAATATAATTTGTTTTATGCTTCAGTATTAAGTATAAATAGAGTGGCTGAAGTGCAGGATGTGAATCTTTTTCAGAAACCTATTTGTAAACCTTTGCAGAGAAGCATCTCAACAAGCATATGTTATATGTTGAATGTACAAAGTTTGGCTTAATCTCGTTCTTACAGATGTTCACCATATGATTATCAACATTTTGAAGAAATGTTTCAAATGAAAAATTGTACAACGCTAAATGAAAAAAATGAACAATGCAATATAAAAAAGGAACAATGGGATTTTTTCTGTGAATAATCAACTCAAGTAAGATTATTAATTCCGTAAGTGAAACAATCTACATAAATATATAAATTCTGATTTTGTTAGTTGTGCCATACTTTTACACCTTTCTCAATTTTAAAAGCTAACTCGACGAAGAAAACAAATATATGGACGCTTTCAAGTTCCCCATTAATCATTTACAACTATTTCAGCTACCGGTCACAACATTTCAATTTACATCTATTTTACAAGCAAACAGTGCTTAAAAATCATCATCACTGTCATTCAAGGCGTTTTTCATGTCGACTTTCCCTCTTTTTCTTCCAATATGGCCAGTTTCATCGTCATCATCATCATCATCATCCCCATCAATAAGTTCATCGTCGTCGTCCTCATCATCCTCGCCATCTTCGTCCATCTCTATGTCACTTCCGCCACTAGACAACTCATCTGAATCCTCCTTAAAACAAAGAATCATTGCATGAGAAAGACATGAGTAGAGTGACATGAAAAATTACATTCCTTGTTCCTTTGTACCACAAATACAAAAATTTGCAATATAAACAGTTGGAAAGGGGTTAATCTATTTCATGGTGTACGCATTTGCTTTAGCATATTTCCACATTGCGGCACTAGGAGGGTTCGTATTTCCCATGAAAATGGAACTGCAATAATTATCAAACGGGTTTGATAGTGGTCCTGGTCTCAATGTAGATTGGTGTGGCATTTTCGAAAACTAAACAAAGAAAACATAGGCTATGGTACACTGTATGGTTCGGTAGAACCGCTGGTGTGTTTAAGAGGAAAATACACAAGAATAGTAAATCTTTTCTGTAAAGATCCTGGAGCATGATACCCAGAATAGCCAGCTCCCTTTGTCCCTGTACATTGGGGCCTGTCACCCACGATAAATTAGCATATGAAACCGTACCCTATGCTCGTCTCTCCCCTTTCCTCTTCCATTCTCCTTCGCAATTCCTTCCCCCGTTTTTCATCCTTTGACTCTCTGAAGCTCTGGCACCCAGGGTAATGAGACCGACACACATCCCCTTTATGCATATAATGAACTGACACTCAAAAAAAGCTACGGCTCTAGAGTATTACCTCGTCTGAATCAGCACCTCCAGTCATAGTTCCTTCAACTCTTGGTCTGCCACCTGAAAAGGGCGTTGTTATTATCGATAGCAAATTCATAAGAAGCAGTAGCAATAGGCCTCTTGCATAAATAACGTTCCTAGAATTATTTGTGAAATATTCGTTTAAGAGAGTCATTCACAATATTTTTATATCTGTGTGGACTTTATGCCAACTAAGTACATTGCGGTCGGGCCGTAGAAGGAGATTTCTGCAAAACTATGTAATACTTCAAGAAACGTGGACTATAAACTTGTTTCACGTTTTTTCTGAGACAAGACCAGCCCACGCTGGAGATAAATCATTGTGAGCTAATAGAAATGTCAGCTTATGACACAAAGGTCAAAACAGTTATTTTACAGTAATTATTTCCAAACCGACAAATGTAGATCCATTTTCAGCCGTGCATTCAAGCATAAAACGTAGGTACAAATCAAGCATAAAAATTAATAAATGTTGCCCGGTTGGTGTCTAATGGGCTTCATAAACTCTACCTGTATACCTCTAATTTTCAAAGCACGAATTTAGTTTAGCTTTACTTTGGGACGTATCTTTTTTTTAAAATAAAATTAATTTACCTGCACATCGAGGTCTTTCTGGTCTGGAACGATCTTCTGGGATGTCGTCTTGGTCATCCACCTCATCGTCACTCGCGTCTCCTTTTAGGTCATCTTGCGGTTCTAATATGACCGCCTCAGCAGTTTTGCTAGATTCGCCATCCAATCCCTGGTCGAAGAAAACATATCAGTGTTTATAGATGATGGCGCCCAACGAGTTATTAATGATAGAAAGCAGAGCCCAAGAGAAATCAGGTGTAACTGAATTATTTCTGCTGGGGTGGGAAGTGGCCTGATCAAGGAACGTGGTTAGAAATTTTCCATTTGACAAAAGGCAAAATAAATTTATGGGATTAAAGGGACAGGTTGTATGGCATCTGGCTATTTTGAAAAGCTTCTCCCCTCATGTACTTAGATGCATACGCTATAAAATTTTCAAAGTTGATTTTCTGAAAACTACATTTTTCATGCCAATGAAACTTGTCCTCAAGATAATTGCTGACAGAAAGATTATACAAGGCTAATTTTTTGTACATTCTATACACTGAATGAAAATTTTTTAAAACTGTTTTCATTCAGGGGGTAATGACATTTAAGAAATACGTTTCTGTGTGTGACCCCCCTGAAAATGGACATTTTCAAAAATAATTCATTCAGTGTATAGAGCATATAAAATAGTATATCTTTGCCATAAATCAACTCTCCATTGCTTTTACTTTTAAGTATATTTGTTGGAAACAAAATGGAACGGCCTTTTTCATGACATTACCCCTTGGTTAATTATGGATTTTTTCCAATTTTTCTATTGTATTTTGATAAGCAAAGACTAACTTTTATTTGTGTATCTTTTCATTAGATTTGGTACAGTAAGTTTTTTACTAGTGACAAAAAAAGTAAAATATGGATATTTCAGAGCGACAGGGTTTACTGCTACCGTAAGAATTTTAAGATTTTTTAAACTCTGATAAGATTTTTTCAACCTCCTTCAGTTTCCAAATTTTTCACCACCTTCCTCAATTACCTTTTGTTTCTACAACCTTCCTTCAGCCAGTAGCCTTGAGGCCGTGATGTTTTTTTGACTCTACCACATTGATACCAGAAATAATATTGTCCTGATACCAGTTGTTGCTGTTATTACCCTCACCGTGATACAAAGATTTTTGGTATTTACTTTTGAAAATACCATAATAAAATTTTAGTGTAAGTCTTTGAAAACTGCCTATGTAGGGTTTCACTGATAGCCACATGTTACAATTATTTTCTTCAAAGAATATTCTTGGCTAAGGAATTTCATCTTAACTGGCAGCATGTCTGGACCGAGATATTTTAAAGCAAAATGAAATCTGTGTTGATGTAGCGAAAATACATTAGCACCTATAAGAAGACCATTCGAAAAAGCATGAGCAGGCACATCTTAATCCACATGAAAGTGCCAATATTATGAATAACAGGAAACATGATCGGTCGATATTGTAACTGTCACGAGTGTAAACAACATTATTAAAAACTAGAAAAATCAAAGAGAATCCTAATACCAAATGTACATGAATAAGCTTATAGGTCAATAACTGTAGAATTTTGTAGAAGCTTGGGTGCACTCTTTTCAATGGAACAGTATCTGGAAGGCTAGGCAATATATCTTTCAATGAAAAGCGACAGTTAGCCCACTGAAGGTGTTGAAATACACTGGGTATGTTAGACGTACAACACACGCGATGCGGACGCTTCTGCAATAAAGAGACAAAGTGGTTTTGGGCGACTTCGATTCTAGTTCAAAAAAACCGGGTCGTAAAGATATCAATTAATTGGTAAGTTGATTTTTGTTAAATCTAGTATTTAATCCATGCTGCTGTTATTTTTGATAACTTTTGTTTTAGTTCTGGGTAGCAGAACACATTTTAACGCTCAAGGATCTTAGTGACTGGTGCACCTCTAATTAGCATGGCCTACTGGAATCAAGATATGTTTCAACTAGTGTTAACTGTTCATTCGTCGTATAAAATATATAAGTCTTGAAGGCAGCGGCATCGCATGCTACTCATTTTTTGGTATGTTTAGGCCGAGCGGAAGAAGGAAGTAAACTGCTGATAAACTTTTGGTTTAATTGAAAATGAAGTTTTGAGCTCGTTTTTGAACAGAAAGTGAAACAAGTTTGCCCTTTCGTTCATTTTATATTTACATCTTTCTGCCATGTTTTTCTTTTTGAGTTTTTTCGGGGTTGGTAAACAAGTAACTTTTGTAAAGAGTCCTACACATCTACGCATTGTTTTGAAGGGTTTTTTTCAAAAATATATCCCTAGGAAGGCCTTCGGACACGCAAAGGATAATTTACAGTACGTTCAGTTTTCCAACATGTCAGTTACATACACGAGACACATAAAAAGGGCAACATTGTGCTACATTTGATGTTGTTATTGCGCAACTAGAAACTGTCCACACTGTCCACAAATGCACTTTCTCTGACGTAAACTTGCATATTGCCCTATTGCGCAACAACAGTGTGGCGTAAATTTAAACGTAGGTCAAATCGTTTCAAACTCCAAAATATCTTTATTTGCTCAGCAAGAGTTTTTCACGAGTAAACTGTCACAAAAAGGGCTCGTGAGATTCGCTTGCTCGCAAGTATTTTATAAAAACCAGATAATTTTTCCAAGGTTCGGTCTTTTTGAAAGACTTGTGGCTTGAGGGCTCAAAATGTTGAATTATTTTAACACTGGTTTTTCTACAACTGCACTCTTTATGAATTAAATGGAAGTCCAGGCTGGCTGTTCTTAATTTTTCCAAAACTTACAGGCTGGATTGTTCTTAATTTGTTCTTAACCATTCATTTCCCGACAAGTTTAAAACGAGAGGCAATTCACTCTTGCAAATAGCGTAAAATATTTCTACGAAAACAAAAATTTAGAGATTTTTAAAACAAAACATATAGGATTTCTATCAAAGTTTAACGGGATTTTCAGGCAGTGATTTGCCCCTTGGTTTAAAATACCGCAAAAAGCACCCCTAGATCACCGACAAAGCACAAAACTTCTCGTTTTTGAGATAAAATTTTCCAAGGGCGTTTGGCAACTTTATTCAAAATTAAATTGTACTGTACCAAAGCCACGGGTTATTCTTAATTTGTTCTTTTGAACCAGCTCATGTTCTTATGAAGTTGTTCTTATTAAATAGGCAGACAATTCTATTAATTGAGAAAAATACATTGACGTTTTTTCTAACTGTTCATCTGAGGCTCGTCATTTTCTTATTCGGTGTTCTTCTAACGTGCGTTTTTACATAAAACAGAGTGAACTTAGCCTCAAAAAAGTCTTCTCTTTATTGTATGTTAGACGTTATTGCTTTCTTCTATCAAAAAATTGACAAATATCCAGACCTTTAGGATCCACAATGCATTTCAAATACTGGTGATATAAAATATTTCCAGAGGCAAGCAACTTTTATATGTTTAGATCGATTTTTGGGTCTTATTTTCAACTGTGAAAACTTGAATCGAGATGAAAGACAAAAAACAATTACCTTGGACTGTAAGTTTTAGAGACAAAACATTCCACATTTGTTCGAGATTTTTCGGGGTTGTGATAAACTTTTTTAAAGGCACTATGTTACGTCATCCAACCGTTCAGAGTCAACAATAGCCTTTGCAGCGTGTTTAAAATCGAGAAAACATTGAGGATTAATTGATTGGCTCCGTAACAATAGGTCTATTGTATAGTCTAACCAATGGGAATTTAACTGGCCAGCGAAATGCGTCGGACTCAGTGCCTTCAAGGCATAGTCGTATTTGAAATGCTCTTGAAAGTCAGAATTTTTTTGCAAAATATGCATGTATTTTTAAAAAGTGCTTTAGGCATGTTTTCACTGAAAATTTTGATATTCTTCAGGGAAAAAACTTTGGCGCAAAGATGGAAAAGTTGCAATTTTTGAATAAAACATATGGTGCACCTAACACAACCGAGGCGATTACACAGTACACTGATGTTGAGATATTGCCGCCGGCTCTTCATTGGCTGCTGAATTCCCTTATGACGTTCATAACAATATTGGGTCTGATTGGCAATGGTCTGGTTTGCTACTTCTTTGCAAAGAGGAACATTCGCATGACTCCTTTTAACATGCTTCTTCTAAACCTGTCCCTCTCCGATCTATTGGCTGATATATTTGCTTATCCTCATATTTTTGTTGACCTCAAAGCTTTACGCAAATACCCGGAAGCAACAAGAGATTTCCTTTGCGCCTTAACGATCGGTGTTACGCCATTCGCAATCGTAACGTATGTTTCGGTGTTAACGTTGATGTATATTTCAGTTACGCGATACGTCTACATAAAGTACCCGCTAAAAGCACAGTGGTTCAAATCAAAACCCAAGACTGCTGGTTTCATTGTTCTTGCATGGCTGTTTTCGATTGCGTTCATATTTCCTAATACTCTTGCCTTCAACTACGACCCTAAATATGCAATATGCGAGAGAATTTGGCCTAAAGATGGAAACGGATATGTTTGGACAGCTGCAGGGTTCTTACTGGGCTTTTTACTGCCAATGGTAACTATGATTTTGTCACTCGTAGCAACAATCCGCCATTTTAGAAACAGGGCTGTTATCAAGAGTTCTAAGGATGCAAGGAGACGTGGTGCCATTATACTTCTTGGCAGTCTAATTCTGGCTTTCTTTGTGTTCTGGGGTCCATGTTTCATATATCTCATTCTGTCATTTACGGTTCAGTCAATATGGCCAGAAGGGGTAGAAGGTGACTATACACGAATGAGGTACATAAGGGTGTTTTTCCTGATTGCGTTAATCAACAGCGTGGCAGACCCGTTCATTTATGGATACAGAAACCCGGAATTCAACAAGTGTTTTCGGACATTCTTCGCCAAGATATGCTTTCGCCTGTGTAATAATTACACCGTAAGGCGACAGGATTCAGCCAGAGAAATGTCTTCAACTTCGTTTTAAGGTCGGTAAACGGACGAAAGTTCAGTCTGGTACTGGATGCAGAAAGACCGTGCACATTCTAGAAGTTCAAATTCAAACGGATTTATGCCCACACAGCACATTTGACACTAACAATAGTCGGCAACTGTAACAGATTAATGTGGTCATTGAAATGTCAGATTGATACTTGAATAATTTTAAGACAGTACAAATATAAGTAGCTGCGCAGGACGCAACTCGTTATACGAGGAATGCATGTTTGAAGATCATATTTTGAAACTGGACCCAAGTTCTCGGTGTAAACTGATTCAAATACTTTACCTCGATTTTATCTTCTTCGCCTTTGTTCATCTCCTCGAGTAATTGCTCAAGATAACTTTGGTTTCTGAATTTCTCAATGTACACCTATGATAAATTAATAAGAAATCTTTATATATCGCTAAAATAACAGGAGAAACATTGAGTTCAAACAAATTGTAGATCATAGCATTTAGTTTGATTTGAAAAACGTTTATATATGGTACACTTCTTCCTATTGAAATAAGAACAAAATTGTATATAAGACGCAGCAAAACATATTTAGATAGTGTTCCACGTAAATGATCACGTGCGTTTAGCTGAAATTGTGGCTTACGTCATAAAGCCCTTGTAGCTCCACTTCCAGCTTTTCGTACTCATCCATAAAGGCAGGCCTGCAATGAAAGGAAATGACTGATAGTAGAGACGAAGTTTTAAAGGATGATGACAGTTAATGTGGCTTAACTGAGCCCATTACATTGACCTTTAGAAAAAATAGGGTTAGGGTGAGAAAATAAACCACAGTTCCCCCAGTTTATTATGCAGCAATACATCGGATCAAAGAGCAGAGCAAAACATATCTAAAACGTTTTAAAGGCCTCTCTTCTTCTCAGTGCTGGGAAACTGACATTGCCCCTGGGAGAATCAAAAGATTTTACGGGGACGAAACTTTAGTTCAATATTTTATTTAACTTACAATTGAGCCCTTCCCCACAAAAACTATTCCTTACTAGCAAACTGCCTTGAAAACCTTCCTTTAATTGTCAAACTTATCTTTTCCCCATCTTTGGTTGCTAGCGTTGATATATCCTTACCCATGCAAACTCTTCTCTCAGCACCCTTTTGCAAAGAGATCGTCATTTCTGCTTGTGAAGTAAAAGCAGTACGCTACAGCAACCTACCTGACACTCTCTAAACTTCGAAGCCTTTTCTGATTGCGCTCTAGCTCCTGTTTCTTCTTCTCTATCTTTGCTTCTAAGTTAGCTTCATCTGATGCAATATTCTCCAGCATTTTCTTTGTTTTGTTTATCTCACCCTAAAGAACCCAAACTAATTTTCAGATATAAGCCAATACAAAATTTTAGCCTGTTATCAGTAGATGAAGTTGATTAGCCTGTTATCGCAAAGACAACAAAAAAGGGGCCCCAGGAATCTAGCCCACCTTAATAATTTCCAATCTGTGCTTCAAAAAAACAATAAATAATTATCCTTCTGGCTTTTAACATGTTGCTTCCTCCCTCCCTAGAAACATTTTTGAGGAGGCTTTTCTGGATGATAAGTAAAATATCAACATATTATTAGTGAGTTATTTGTAAAAATAATGGGATATTGAAAACTTTTTTTTCCCTTTTGTCCAGAGAATTGTTGCATATAAAAGGTATTAGCAAATGGAGTTTAATATTGAAATTGAATTCTTTACCGTCAAACTCTTCACACTTTGTCTGATTCCCTTTTCAATTTCATTCAAATCCATTGGACGGCCAACAGAGGCATTTCTAAGTTCCTGAAGAGAATAACACAAATTTGTAATGAGAAGCATAATAAGGGGCTGGAATTTGTTTCAAAGTAGGAGGAGCTGGAATTGATGGGGTGGGCAGTAAAAACTTAAGATATTTTCAGAGGGTCTTTTTGCATAAAAGATGGTTTTTAATGGAAACATATTTTTTTTGAATTTGTCTTGCAAGTCACTAATTTACATGTGAAAATTCACTTTGTCAACATAAAAAATTTGAAAGCATGAAGGACGTGAAGGGAAAAGACTTTTTTAAAATCAAGATATGATTATCAGAGTTAAAAGAAATCTGTGGGGCTTATTTTTCTTTGGATAATAAAGTTTCAAACATCATAAAAAGTAACACCTTTTGCTCAGAATCTCAAATCCAATAACATATTTTTTAAATCTCTACTTAGGTTATAACAATGCTACTGCAATTTGTGAATCGCTCTTTGCGACTGAAAATTCAAGGATAACCCATAAAAGGAAGCTTTTAGAAGTTGATTTACACGTCCAATGCAAGGCAGTTGATTTTGATGTAGCAGCTACTAGAAAGACACTTTGATCTAATCCCAAACAGCCATGGATATGCTATTATGATGAAAAATATAACTTGAGGATCAAGATTTGGCTTGAAAATCTTACCCTGAGTTCAACTTCACGACCAAGCAAATCATACAATGAGGCTCCTTTTGTTGTTATTTCTGAAGCAAGCTGTCTTGATGCTTTCAAATCACCAATCTGAAGGGATTACAAAATGCATATTGTTAACCATTTTCATACCAAAATTAATCCCTTTTATAAAACTATGCAAGAAAAAAAAGATTTTAAAACCAGGCTTAATGTATGCATGAAAAATCAGTTAGAAAGCTAATTCTTGATGTAATTGTGGTTTTTATAACAAAATCACTCGGCATCATTCCGATGCTTTCCTTAGTCTATGAATATACAGTAATTTTATCAGACCAATATCAATTGAAGTGTTTTTTTATCTATTTACTTTATTATGAAGTTTAAAGATCAGAAATCCTGTTGTTTTTTATTATACAGTGTTTAAATGTGTTTCTTCTAAAGAAGTTCAAGTATTGAATAAGCTCCCCTCTCGAATAGGCCTGGTACAAAGATAAAATGCAAAGTATCAAAAAACAAACCTTAGAAGTGACATCAATCTTCACCCTTGTCAAGTCCTCATGGCTTGATTGCTTTTCGGAGAAGATATAAATTAAGTGAGTTTGTAAAAATATTTTGATGTAAACTTTAACAAAGTGGGGACATGGTGGCTTCCTTTTCACAGGGTTGCCAGAGTTAGCTATAGTTCTTACAAAGAGATTAGTAAATATAGCATAATTTATTCACACCTCCCACCATCAGGGCACCCTTTCCACCACACCCTTGAAAGGAACTTCATCATAATTCTGGAACTAGAAGCTTGTCAATTACCAATCTAGTCTTAATGTATTAATTCAAGCAATTAGCAGAAGTCTTTAAACCTTTAGCAATTTAACTTTGAGAGGGAAAGGTTCCTTCGTTCGACATAAGTGGCTATAGAGTCTGGCAAAATAATATGAGATGTAAGTTCTTTGACTACTTGAACTTTCAAAAGAATTAATAGGAAAGTAACTGACAAGCTAGTGTGTTGGAAGCCAGATCTGAACTGAGGCAGGAATAGTATAAAATAAACACTGCCTCTAAAAATTGTAAAATTTTGGGTTCAAATTATTATCTTGAAATTGAGCAAATAGACAGACAGTTTATTTGGCCTATCTATTTCTAGTAGAATTTACAACTGAAAAGTTTCCTCAAGGTTTTTCTTTAGAGAGATATTTTGTTGCATAATAAAGTATATAAAATGTTTGTGTCTTCATGGGATCATCAAAGCAAACCACTTACATCATCAGATGAGTTTGACCTCATTGCATTGTATAGAATAGATGTGACCTTCAGAAGTTCCTTTACTGCATACCCATCTGCACTATACAACTTCTTTGTATTGAGCTTAATATGTGCTTTGGTTGCCTAAAAATATATTGGTTTAGAATATATATTTATAAAATCATAATAATGCCTTTTATTTGCCAAATAACAGATTTCTACTGACTTGAGTTAAAACAAATTGATATACTTTTTATTAATTTATATTTTCAAAGACCCTATGAAACAAACAGTATTGGATTTGAAGAGCTCCCTAAAAGGTCTTCTCCTGATTAGTTTTATACTCTGAACTACCAGTGAACGAAACTTCCAGGTTAGAAATGAATGAGGAATTGGTCATTGTTTGCAGTAAAATGAGACATCCTCATGTTTAGGAAGAGGAAGAACTTTACAACTAGATGAGAGGATACAAGGCAAAGCATTGTTTCTTTATTAAAAAGAGCTGATATTAAATCTATAATCTACTTTATCAGGTGCATTTCTAGCAAGGAATTAAAAAGGGAGTTTATAGGAAGCATTAACTTACATCTAATGCTAAATGCAATTTCATATGTCAAATCATTTTCATTGTCCATATCAAATATCAAATTTAAAACAGTATCTTACCATAAACTGAGCAACTGATTTAATGAATATTACTCTATCATTTTGACCCTCAACATCCATTGGTATGTCAACATTAGGATCATACCTGTAAAAATAAAGACCACTTAGCAACAAATCATATTTTATCCTTGAAAGCAGGTATTGCTGTGACCATAAATTCTTATATGATATATTTTACAGTAGCTATGAACAGCTTATGATTTGGGCTTGGGAAAATCAATATATGGCTTTTATGCACTTCTGGTTGTTTTTAATGACTCTTTAGACTTGGCCCTTTGAGGCAGGCGATCGCCTGCACGCGCCTCCATGCTCGTCTCGGGTAATCGAGACAAGCTATTTATTGCTCGCCTCAATGTCAGTTTGCACGTTAACTGCCTGCCTTGGTCTTCCTTTCATTTCTCGACACCTCTTGAAGTAAAAATAAAATATTGATAGGAACTTGATCCTCTTATGTTTTGACTTAGAAATAACGTTTTAATCTCTCAGGAGACTTCTACTCCTTTAAACTCGTTAACTACTTAACAAGTAACGCGAAAAACAAACAAAGCATTTTTAAATGCAATAGGGAAGAAAATCCTTCAAATGATTTAATTTCAACCAGAATGCAATTTCAAAGGCCAATTGAATATTCCTAACATGTGAAACAAAGAATCATTTCAACATGGCGAGTAACCAGAAAGGATCGACTGTTGAGCTGAGAACTTTAAAAAAAACCACAACGGGGCTTTCTTGGAAGGAAAATTGAGGAGATAGATGGAAAGAAGATAATGATGTTTGTTTGGTGCAGACTTTGCGCTAAAGATAAAGCTTTTATTTTCTTGAACCCCCTTTGCAAAGGCGGTGCAAAGGCGGCTGTTGAAGCCTACATCAATGGAACAAATTTTGTATGTTGTTGATTTGGGATTATATCAAACTATCGTTTTATTTTGGTCTGAGAATCGCCAACTTGTTTTGTAAACTCAGCTGTTAAAGAATGTTGTTTATTCATATATTTTTATTGATGATTTTTCAAGAGACTTAAAATCGCCCACCTGACTTTACCGAGGAGAATGATGTACCGTGCGCCTGCTAAAAGGCTCACAACCTGGCCCGACTCTTCCGCATTCCCTACCACTTTGCCCATTTCCTCGCATATTATTAAGTAAGAAATATATAAAAAATTGACTTTGTATGCTTCTAATCTTTCCATTCAATATTATTCCTTTTTCTCAACAATGTAATTTTCAGCTTCAGTTTGAGTTCTTGACTATCATACTAATGTTCTGGCTTCATTACAGAGTGTTGCCTTTTATTTCTTCTGTATGGTTGCATTCAAATTTGTCCATGGAGAATGACTCAAGTGAACCCTTGCTGCATCCCTTCACTCTGACAACTGCCATTTTCATATTCATTCTTAATAGCCTGTTCCCTTTTTCTTATCATATTGTTATTTAATTATAGGTTAAGGCCACAGCATTATAAATAAGCTATAAACAATCATACTTTTGTGGAACCTGGACAAAAATTGAGAAATAGCTTGAAGGGGCTGCAGTTGACAATAACCAAAAAAATCTGATAGACCTAAAGGATCAAGCATCTGTTCAGTGAAAATGGCATCGCTACAGTATCCAAAATAAAAAAAGAATAAAAAATAAACCATATGTTACCTAAGTACCAGCCATTTTAAGACCTCTGCAACCAATGGAAAATTGGGAGAACGAAAGTTCTCCATGGAGATCAATCTTGGGTACCCAAGAGCTCTCATCATTTCTGTAAAATCTGCGGAACAAATTTGATTAAAACACTTGTAAATAGAAACAAATGAAAAAGAATTGAATTTGTAATTTGTAAAAATTGAATTTCATTTTATTCAGGACATCATTAGGTGTTTTTGCTATAAATTCAAATTGTAATGAGAAAGTTGGAGATATGATAAATTGTCATTAAATTTTGAGGCATGTTTAGCTAGCATTGTCTAAATCTTGGTAATTGTTTTAAATATGCCGTATCATCAACCTTGTTTAAATTCTCTATTCTCTACATTTACAACTACAGATACTCTTGCAATGACGCTTCTCGTGTCCTTCTAGTGAAGTGAAATAAATCTATGATTTTCGAGCAAAACAACAAACAAATGCGGTCAAAAACAGCACGGCTTAAAAACTAAGAAAAAATAAATATCGAGTAAAATTCTTACTTCTCAAGTCTCGATACGACATATTGATTGCGGAGATTTGCGAATACCAAGTGAGTTTAGTATACTAACAGCTCTCAGGCCATATAATTAAAATTCATCGTTTAGGCTGTTAGTGGCTGTTACTAACAAACATCGCGGCTATCTTGATTGAGCCTCATTCCGAAAATGGTGATCAGTGATTCAACCCCAAATGGCTTACAGGACAACGAGTTATGCAAGTAGACTTATTAAAATGAACGAGTGTAGTAATTGGGAAGTAATTTTTCAGGGGAAAGGATAAGCACTTTTCTGAACACTTCTTTACTGAAATCAAAAGAAAAAGACGACACCCTTCTTCATTGCTTTGTCAAGCTGTTCAAGGGCGTCGCAAAGGGGGGTCTAGGGGGATGCGTTACTCCCCAACTCTTTTTCTGTAGGCATATTAAGAAATTTTGCCGGGCAAAAGAAGCAATTATACTCACCCTGTAACCAATTTCCAACCAGTGGCGGATTTAAGGGAGAGCAACTAAGGGCAGTTGCTCCTCCTTCGACGACGAGAAGCAAGTATGGCGCCCCTTTTTTGGAAATTATGCGCCCCTTTTGAAGAATGAGAATTGGGTGAAAAAGTTTCTGAGACCAATAGATTAATTTGCTTCAAGGATTACTTCAAAGTTGTGTTGTTTATTCCAAAAATGGATCTGAAATTGTTGTATACAGCGTTCTCTCGTCATCAATTTTTGAAAATTTTTCAGCGCCCCCATTACCAACTGCCCCTCCTTCAAGTTTGCTCTGGATCCGCTCCTGTTTCCAACAATTGTAACGCATTAACATTTCTGTAGTAGTTGAACTTTCAAAGTATGGCACTTGCATATGAACTTTGAAATATAAGCGCATAAAAGCAGCGTAAATGTGTATTTATCTTTTGACCATACCCTTAAAGACTGAGAGAGGGCCCTTTTTATCGGCAAAAATCACCTCTTTTTCGCCCCTAAAGCTGTTATCCAGGCACCGCATGGCGGGGCTAGGGGAGCTTAGCCAATTTAGGGGTTTGGGACAAAGGCTAGGGGAGCTTTCCCAAAAATGCAAAGAAAGAAAGAACCACCAGCTAAGCCTCTTTTTATTCGGTCTTAGCCCCCCACTTTTTTTAAACCCGCCATTTTTATCAATGCTCAACTGTTTTACAAAGTTAGAACACAGGGTTCCCATCCATTGTAGGCAGGACCTTACATGACGATTTTTCATGTGTGTTTATAATTGTTTACTACGTAATTATTATTTTAGGTGCTGGTAGAATATATAAAAGGGGTTGTTTCTAAGAATGTAGTCGTACAATTTTAGCAAGGGGGGCTCTATGAAATTTCCAACTTGTTCTTGTCGTGAAATAATTGCAATTTGAACGCGACGAGGGTTGATGTTTTCATTTGTCTCAGAAAATTGCGTCTAATTTTGAAGACCTTGCAGAAGAGACAAGTGCCTCTTGCCAGAAAACTAAGAAAAATGATGTAATCCAAAACGGGCGTTTATTACAGTTCTTAACTTTATAAAATTATTTTTATAAAACATATTGTAAAAGCAATTTAATTATGTTTGAGAATAAACATCTTGAGAATAAACATCACAATTTGTTGTATTTTATAGGCAGTGGGTTAGTTTCCCGCAAAAAATGAGCGCATGCTCTCTGACTCCAGGATGGAGGGTTGCCTAACATATTAAAAGACTTTCTCTTGCTCGTCTCCCCAAAGTTAGGCAAAGATATCAGTGAACAAGTGAACAAAATATGCAAGGGCCTAAGAGGGTACAACTTACCTATTATTTTGTGTTACCGGAACCGAGGGTCAGCTCCCCACATTTTCAACATTTTTCTGCAGGTCAAATATGCTGCCCCCCTCAACGAAAAGTATGAAATGACGCCTTGGCTGTATGATTGTCGAACTCAGTTAGTCATTTCGTAGCTTTGCTTTACTGTTAGAAGCTCTGTCGCTATTTTTGTCTTGGCTGTTGAAGCCGGTCGTTATTTGAGGGTGTAGAAGGGCTTTTGACTAGGTGACTAAAAAGTGTTTTGCCAATCATCTTCAGGTGATAAAATGAGCGAAAAAGAGATTGTGTTTTGTCCAAAAACAACTTAGAGCAGGAGAAAAGAAAACCACCTATTTGCTTCCCAACCAGAATGGTTGTAACTAGACCAAATCATCTATGTGTTAGCTATTGTATATGGAGACGTTTACATGTTACGATATCAGAGATTTGGGGGGTGGAGGGGGTAATGAATACAAACGTTTCTCGTCAATGTTATAGCCTATTGCTACTGCTTATTTAACTGTTGATTTATAGGAAGAGTTTTTACAAATTTTCATTAGGTAATATGTGCGTACCGTAATCGTTAGAATAAGCGCCCGAGCGCTTATGTAATATTTCTGCTTTCAAGGGGGCGCTTATTCGAGATGGGCGCTTATCCGAAAGGAGGGCTTATTAAGTATTTCTAACTTACTGATAAAAAAAACAAAAAAGAATGACAATTGTCAAAGAAAAGTATTATTCTTTCTTTTCCAAGGCCTTCCCTTCATGCGAGATATAGAATTTTTTCATCGATTTTCTCCGTGAATTTCGAAAATTCGAATAAGTGCCCACCCTAGAACAAGGGGGCGCTTTTTCGAGAGGGGCGCTTATAAAATTATTTTCTTAAAAGAGGGGCGTTTATTCGAATGATTACGGTATTTCTTATGTTTTCTCTTATGAATGATATGAAAGTGTTTTTTCTTTTGGTCGTTTAATATCCTTTAAGCCCTGACAAAATGACTAAACATTTCACTAAACATTTCACTCAACATTTGTTTAGTAAAGTTGAGCGAAGTGTAGCGAGGGTGGCAAAACGTGACTAAACTTTTCACTAAACTTTGCTCAAGATTTCTAAACTGCGACATGTGTAGGACGCTGTGGGGTTGTAGGGTATCTTGCATAGGAATTTGCTTTCTGTTTGTTTTGTTGTATGTTAGCATTAAAGACTTCAAGCGCAAGAAGTGCGTAAAAATAAGAATTTGTTAAAAGAAAGGGAGACTAGAAATAGAATACTTATTAGCACATCGATAACAAAGTTGACTGTTGAAGAAGACACAGTAGCCTACAAGGAGACGAAGCAAACGTCTCACAAAGGCATTCTAGAGATTTTGGGTCACGTGGAGACAGGAAAACCAAGAAAAACCCTGGAAAATCTTTGCTAAACAACACTAAACAACGCTAAACATTTTTGATTAGAATCAAACTTTGCTCAACAACACTCAACTCAACACGACTAAACAACACTAAACAGGGTGGCAAAACGAATAAACTTTTCACTAAACAAAAGTTGTATGGTAGAGGATAACAGTCCTGTTACAGGCTATTTTAGGTTGCAATTCAATTAAGAACCTATAAGAATCTTGCTTTTTGTATACGAAACTATGAAACAATGTTAGAGCCAGGAGTTTTGTACTAAAAGGAACTTTATACATGAGTCACAGCAAATGAATAAAACATCGGCATCAATAAATAGTTTCAAGTGAAAGCGTCACGAAAATTTTTTGAAATTCATTAATTTTTGTTAACAAATTTGATTAATTTTGCATCATCAAATGTGTTTCATTGTGTTATTTCTGGCTTTGTGAACAAAATCATAATATTTTTATGAACAAAATTAAGTCTTTAATGACGTCACACTTTTGGAACTCCCCGTGTCGAAGAAGGCTCTTATTGGCTTTTCGGTAACAATACGTTTGTTTACGATCAAGTTTGGTGGAAGTTTGAGATCACTTCTCATTTACATGGTGAATTTTGCAGATCAGGTTTCTTTTCATCTCAAGGATAGTGGGAAGCATGGCAAGCAACGGTAGTATTTTGTGTTATTCAAGTTTATTCAAGTTTTATTCAGGTTTTATTCAACGGTTCTGTCTGGTTCTGTTGACGAAGAATAGGGGGGCGTTGGCAGTTACCAATAAGAACAATCTCGTTTAGTGCAGTTCCTTGAGACTTGCAATAAAGGAGTTGTTTTGCGTTTTCATTCCAGTCAAGAGAAAAGTTTAAAGGCTTATGTTTCGAAACAATCGAAATCCTTAAAATTCCTGACTGCACTGCTTTAATTTGGTGTCCACGTAAACTGAAGCAAATTTAGTTCTCTTCAATGCCAGGGGCCATCACAATGGCACCCTTTAAAAACCTTGAGCATAAATACACAATCTCACTTTATTCCTCAATAATCTGCTAATAGCGGTGCAACGGAGGGAGAGGTGGGAGACCGAGCAGAATAAACTTTGTAATTCGTGTAAACTCAACAAGAAAATATTGGGGGTAATATTTTGACGCCACATTTTTTTGTGATACAGTCCTATGATTTTAACTTCCTTGGCTAAGCAAAAAGTTAGTCATGGGCGTTTGCTAGTCTTGTTGGCGAAGGGACTTTCCTGATAGTAAAAATGGCGTGGCCTAAAAGAATTTTTTGCTTTAAACTTTAAAGAAATTGAGATAAAAAAGTGAAGTTGTGAATTTTATTATATTTGAAAAACATAATGGTTACAGCCTCTGGGTGACTTGACTTAAAATTGAACCTTTGGTATGGTACAAAGGCCAAAGGTCAAGGAAAGGGCCACTTTGGACTCCATGGAAAGGGCAAGATAAGACCTTACCCCCAATGTCTCCTTTCTTGTACCCCTGGGCCATTGGTGACTTGAGTGGTACCACTGTTAATTATTTGAAAAGGAACACTGACTGAAAATTTCAGCTTGGTATTGCAAACCAGTACCATCCTTGGCTTAAAGTCTTATTATGGTTTATTGGGATCTGTTGTTAATATTCTGCTCCTTGTCCTATTGCAAGCTTTATTTGATGAGATTCAAGCACGCAATGCAGAGTTTATGAAACGATGGGCTGACGGTGACATGGAAAGTCTGTCCAAATTGTATGCTGAGGATTGCAAGTTAATGCCAACTGGATGTGACACTCTTGTTGGGAGACAAGGTATTTTGATTCATTTTTTCCCTCATTGGGAAATTTATCACCAAAAGACAAGCTTGTATTATAATGTTTTGACAAATCGGCCAAAGAGGTTTATTAGTTGTAAAAGAAAAGTAAAAGCATTTATGTTTGTCTGTATTTATTCAAGTCTTTAATGTTAGTAACAGGACTAAGCAACCTTTTTTCAGCCAGGTTTAAAAATGAGTTAAAAAGTAGCAGAAACATTCATTTATATATTCAAGTAAACATAAAATAAAACCATAATTAATGTATGTTTTATCTTCAACTTGTACCTAAAGGTTGTCTCAAGTATGAGCAATTTTTCTTTGAATGTATTTTGAATATATACACAGAATTTTCTTTTTTGTTTCCAGCTGTTGTGGATACTTTCAGCAAAGAATTTCAATCAGGCTTTGTCAAAGTCATTCTTCAGACCTCTGAAGTTGGTGGATGTGCTGATGATAAGTCATGTGCTTATGAACCAGGTCATTACACATTTCTTGACAAGGATGGCAAGCAGCTAGATTATGGGAAGTAAGTTGACAGATTCACCATCTTATTTCTTATAAGTGTCAATTATCATACTTAATCAAATTTTTTTGCATCCTCCATAGGGGTGTCAACTTAAAAAGTTAATAGGGTGCCTGTGCTGTAGGCAACTTCTAGAATCCATACCCATGACCACACCCATTTACTTTCTTTAGTGTTAAATATTCTGTTTATGAAATCATTCCAACTATCCACCTTCTCAAAAAAGACTTATGAGAAATTGCACATTTATGAAAAATCCATGAAGGGTTGCCAGCACAGAATTTGTCCAAGCAAATATGAGCCATCTCCCCCCATAGAAGATCTCTCTGAAATTTGACAAGGGGCACTGAGCTCCCCTCCTAGGAGCCCTGTGATCCTCCCTATCTCAGGGATCTGTTAAAAGAACCTGGATGCCTATGATAATGAAGCTTTGTTTGAAGTGGCTTACCTCTGATCTGATCTGTATATAATTTAAGGTTTTTGACCATTCAGCCACATTCTGACAATACTTCATCTGTTGTGCACCAGACAAAGAAGCTTTTGTATGCTAGCTCAGTTCATGCTTTTCTGAAGTTTCATACCACTAGAATCATAATCATCTTAATTTTTGGAGCTAGTTTTGGCTGGGTGTCAAACTTGAGAAAAGCATAGACACATGAACCAGGGGACACAGGGGGCATGCGCCCTACACTTTTCACAAACAGTGGTAAAGTACCTACTTACAGCTTACTGAGGTGCCCCTTTTTGACTACATATGCCCCCCCGCACTTTTAAATGCTTCCTAAGTCTATGGGAAAAATAATCTAATTCCTTTCTTTGAAAATCATAGGCTACTATTGAGGATAGTGATTCCATTTTGAAAATACAAAAATTGATTTTCTGGCATTGTAAAAAAAAGGTGCAAGTGTAAATCTTTTCTTACAGATATGTTGTCATCTGGAAAAGAGTTGATGGAGAATTGAAGCTTTATGTTGATATGTTCAATTCAAATTCAGCATGAAATTCATTGTTGAGAAACTGTTTATGGGAGCATTGCAGAGGTATTAAACTGAATGATCTTCTTTTTGTTTTTAATATTTGTGCATGATGAAGAAGAGAAGGACAGTGGTTTCATTTCTTTTCACAACTTTATCTGTCTGGCTGAGTTCCTAAAGTTCCTACCAAAGGTCTTTGTACACTACGTAAGCTTGCATTAACAGGGCCCACACCACCGAGGGGCCATAGGGGCCTTGTCCCCTACCTTTTGGTAAGCAACATATTTCCAAAGAGGCCCTGTTTTGAAGCACTAAATTCAAGTTTGACTTATATAAATTGGCCCCTCCACCTTGAAATTCATGGCGTGGGCCCTGATTAAATAGCATCAATGCTATTACCCCCCTCTCACTGTTTTCCCATTTCCCTGCAATTTCAGGGAAGAGAAAATCTTTCTTGCAAAAGTGAAAGAAATCTATTGACCTTTTAACAGATATCTACTTCACATTTTGGGTAATGAAAAAGGCTGATGGTCAAATTTATCAATACTTCATTTTTTGTGTGGAAAGCATTCAGTTTTGCCAATCTAACTAAAAAGATCACTTTCTCAATGAGAAAATCATGATGCCATGTGCGGCTTACCCACAATGCATACCCTAACAGTAGAACAGTAAATGTTCAGTAAAAACCTTTGGATTGCCAGGTCAGTTGTAGGTAGGGTGTTTGATGCACGATAGATGACAAATACAATTACTTGACAAAATTAGCAATTTGATGCAGAAAAAAGTTTTGAGTTTCAGTTTTTTGGGTTTGAGTTGTGTGTGCTTCCTAACGTTGTGAAGAGAAACTGAGATGAGATGGAAGACAAGGACTTTCTGAAAGCCGTATTCAAAGTGAGCAATTGCAGGGGCCGGCAAGGAGAAATTTGTAACTTTTTCAAACTTAGTAGATAGTCAATAGTGTATATAACACTAGTACATAATAAAAAACAACATTTTAATACTTTGGAGAATGAAGATTTACAATTGGGATGTACATGTACCTGCCTCGTTTGAAGCACTAAAAATGCATCTTAAAATTTTCTTATTCCTTTTTTCCTCATCCTTTTTCAGATACTATTTCCTTTCTCTACATGAACTTGCCTACTCTCTTCTTCATTGTTTACATTTGCTCTCTCTTTCTCTTTTCCGCCTCTTCTTCGATATCTCCAGCTTACAGAATTGTACAGCATTCTCTTGCGAAGTATATCATCATTTTTGTAATTAAATTAACAAGCTAGTTTTCTGATAGCATTCATTTTATTCAAGTAATAACTGTATTTTTGTAACGGTTGACATTTTTCACCTTTTTTATTATTACCTAGGTAGGCGTGACTAGAACGGCTCTCCAGTGCTCATCTTTTATTTTAAAAACCAAAACTTTTGTTTGCTGTTGTGGTCACACCCTTCAACTTACCCCTACCTTTTCCTTAATCTTTCCTTTTTTTGGCCAAAGATCGGGCTCCCCATTTACTGCTCGCAGCCCGTGTTGAAAATTTGATGCGTTTTCCCTTATAGATACGATTGATGCTCCTATTTCTTGGGTGCGAGCTGGTAGAAACCCTAGCAAATCCATATTAGTTACCTGGCCACACTTGCCACCGGGCCCCGTCCCCTCAAGCAGACAGTAGCCCCAGAAAACTTTCAAAAGTTTTATATGATGTCATGTCATAGAGCTTCTCTTACACGATTTTCTTTTTATTACATGTGAAATGTTTCGGAAAACATTGTCTCCACAAGGCGGGAGAGGTATGATAAACAAAGTAATGACCTATAATTTTAAGAATGATTCATAGAATGGTATGTCTAAAGTAGGAGGGGTTGATGTAATGTTCCTGATTAGGGAATTTTCAGAAGAAGATTTTACAGACAACTAGATCTCCGTTTGAACTTCTGAACTGGATATCATCAAACATTTTTGAATTCATGGTAAAGACTAATGTTATGGACATGGCCCTGCATAGCTGGCTGGTCAAGGGAGCAGTTGCCAATTAAATTATATTGCATATTGAGAGGTATTTTATTCCGTTCTTTCAGATCATGTAGTCAAATTTTAGAAACTCTAATAAAAATTTGATGACCCCACACTTCGGTACTCTATGAGCCCAGACGTGATGAAAATTTTTCATAACTCCCCGCTGTCCAAGACTTTGTCCCAACCACACGATGTGAGAGTTTTTGTCCCAATCCGAACAAAACCAATCCAAATACTTTGCATAGGTAAAATTGCTTCTAAGAGTTCATTTTCTAGCGAACTGGAATATTTCATATTTGAAAATTGCTCACCCTTCTGCGGCAATCTCGAAAATTAAGTCGAGACGTTTTGTTAGGATTAAGGACGCATACTTATCAATGAAAAATTCAAAAAAAATTCCAATTTTTTCATGTGCATATAAATAAATGTATTTGTCCGATTCGTTAATTGAGTTTTTTGTAGCTACAGAGACAAAACCTGAAACTTTCAATTTATTTTTCAACGACTCGTGATAGTTCTTTTATCTCAGTTTCTACAAATAGAATGTTCCGACTTACACTTTTGTTGATAGGGAAGCTACATCTGTGCTTAGGCCCGGGGCCTTAAAAATGATAGTGTGGCCCGGATAAAGTTGTTTTCGCAAATCACAACGGAATGCAGCATCAACGAGTATTATTCAATGCAGGATGCAGGTGTACACAAGGTTTTCGTTAGCTTTTACCAAAACACTGACTGCAAAACTGGAATGAATAAGAATTATGAAATTGGTTAAAAAAACTTGAAGCGATTAGGACTAATTATGGGAAGTAATTGTATTTGTAGCTATAATCGAGTACATTTATCGCTGACATCAACATTTTACTGACTCATAGATTTATATAATTTTTTTAAAAACAATTTTAGAAGATTTTGTTTAGTTGATTGTTATAACAAATGTAGCATTGATAATTCTACTACTACTGCGAACAGAAACATAATATCACATCATTTGAAACTCTATCATTTAGATAGCGAACTCGCTGAGCAAAATAACAAAGTTTTCGGTCGTTCGTTCACCTTACTGTGCACCCAACACAAAAAGTGTTCGGTGAATCTTAGGTGATATTTCTGTCGGACCGTTGGGCCTTAAACGCCTAGTTTTCTTTCAACAGGCTAGGCTGAAAATGTAAAGAGAGCCTGTTTTGTTGTAGTCTCTATGGAAAAACATACAGTTCTTGTTGTATTCGTTTTATTGTATTCTTCTTGTTGTGTTCATGAAAATTTAATGCACCTTTCGTGTTCTACATTTAAACCTGATAACTAGTTTCAGCTGTAAAACAGGTTGATTGTTTTTAGATTTTTACGGTTTACGGTAAACCCAACTCTCTTCTTTAATATTTAATCGGCAGAACTAAGTAAACAGCGGAACACACATGGGCTATCAGAGCCGCCAGAGATGCGTAATTGTCTTAGTTTCTAGTGGCAGCGTTTGGATATATACTAGCAAAGAAGCAATGTTTTTATAACACATATTTCAACATTTCCCTGAGCGAACTCTGTGTAATATATGCGCTAATCTTATTCAAATGTTCACACACCAAACCTATGGAGATGGGGCTGGGTTACTCTGGGGAACTCTTCTGTTTAGTAAAACCACCTGCCCAATACCCGTCAGTGGGGGGCGTGGGGGGCGTGGGGGTCGGAAGAAGGGCTCAGTAAATAACAAACAAGTATATGTTTAGTTGGGCGAATTCCTTACTTGTTAATATGAATAAACCCTTCATTACGCTATTGTTTTTTTCGAATGAGTAATTTTATTAGCACTTTAGAGTCGCCGAATAGTTTGAATGATTTCAACAGTGAATCCTAAACACAAATGCAAGTACTGTGTGTAGGGTTTGTCCACATGGGTGTGGCATGGAGCGTGGCCTCTACACGTTCCCTACAGCATAACCCCATCCTAACTTTTGAGGAAGGTACCCCTGATGCCAGTGTAAAGAACGAGAGCTGTCTCGTTTCCCTCTCTGAAATATAAATATTGATGATAACGAAAACAAATCGCCAGAAGTATAGCACTGAATTTTAGGTTGAGTCCTTAGTCTAAATTGATATTTAAAGGCATTGAGTCATGATAAAATTGGTTAGGTATACCCAAAGTGCCAAAATCCGCCGAGTCGAGATTTTCATAACTGCGATGCTATTGGTTGACCTTAAACTGGTCACATGAACTCACCTCGTACTGATTAACAAAACAGTTTCCATCAATAGCAAGTTGTCAACAACGGATGCCAACATCACGTGAAACAGAAACGATCACGCCGAAACCAAATATAATCTAACCGGTTTCTTCTATCTATCCGTCACAAGACTATTTTAAATAATGTACTCATTCTTTGGTCACAAAAGCGCCCACAAGAAATGCTTTTTTTCTAACCTTTATTGAAGTCCCAGCTGGCTCGCGTTGACAGTTCGCACAAACGCAGAGTTAAGTGTGAGAAGGGAGGCATGGCATGGCATGGCCCTTCTGGAATTGAGACTTTTATTCAGATTTGACTATTGTTGCACTCTGTCATTTCACTTGATTAGGGTTGTTAGACAAGTACATTTCAGCCAGGCACCGCGGAGCAGGGGGGGGGGGGGGGGGCTTTAACCGCTGCAAGTGATTGCAAGAGTTGCCAACGATGAAATTGTGTAGCAGACGAAATGATATCGTGACATATTAAGATCTCAGTGTAAACAAAATAGACACAGCTTTTAGCACAGTTCTTTTTATGAGATGCTAAATTTATAAATACAATTGGCAATGTTGCTTAGATTACTATGCATAACTATATATCCAGAATACGTTCATAAGATGAACAAATTTTACAGTTGGTCGATAATCAAGCACAGACGCAGCCGGATTTTTACTTCAAAAAAAGAATGGTTTTTTACTGTAAGATTTAAGTAGCACATAGTTCTGAGATCGGGAATAATTTTGTAAGAAAATCATTTTGTAAGAGATTTTGTAGGAAAATCATTTTCTAAAAGGTATTTGTCAACGGCTTGCGGCCTTGTGGCACTAGACAGTTTCAAAAACAGTTTCTGAAAGACGGTTTCAAATCCTTCGGTCTGCAATTTTTCCGAAAATTAATGCAGGT